TATAGTGCAACGGTAGCCCCACCCTTCAAACCGAAACGCATTACTGCTTCACGGCCGAAATAGGCAGGGTGGGTGGTACCTACCCGTGCGGACATACAAGACGTCTACAACCAGTAATTACGCAAATTATAATTTTGTGGGTAACTTACTTACTTTTGCGGGTACTTTTATGATTTCTGTGCGTGTTCGAAACCAATCCGTTAGTTTTTGAATTCTTACCACGGCAACACGGGTCGCGATTTGACGGTGCCGTCGCGATTTGACATCTGTCACTTTGTCTTGCTTCTCGAACGGGACGGTACCTGTATATTGACGGTCTACGCTAAAGTTGTGTATCATCGCTAATCCTTATCCATTCCTGCCCCATACCCTTCTCCCTAAGTGATACGGCNCATCTGCTCCAGCAGCGCTTTAAGTGGACGGATAGAACCAGTCCCCCTCACGTCGGTGACCTTGTGTTGGTTAAGGATGCTAACCTGCCGCCACTGCGTTGGCGTAGGGGGCGCATTGTTAATCTGTTTCCCGGTAAGGATGGGACCCCTCGGTCTGCAGAGGTTCTGGTCGGGGACTCGGTTCTCAAACGAGCGGTCATTATTATGTTGAGCTACAAAGGGGATAGGTCCTGAGTAATTATCATCATCAGCCCCCCCCCATCCGCTGCTGCATATAGGCCTCCTCAAGATTCGCCTAGCTGACCGGCGCAGCCCATAATCCAGGAGTAATATTATATGCTTACTTTTTCAAAAATGACTAGTGTCTCTTGTCTCGTTAAGACTTCCTCACTCAAAGATGTGGGTAGGCAGATATCTATTTAGTTCTACCTGCCAACCCTAAGTCATAGTCGGATCCCATAGACCCATAATGCGATTCCCCATCTTGAAGCCTAAAGCTATAATTTCAAATGTATACTCACAGCAGTCTTCATAACGCATGACTGCTTCACGCCAGAATTGATTAGACGGTAGTACCTATAAGGTCAACACAGTAATAATTACCCAAATTAATATGTTTTGGTAATGGATTTATAGCACTATGTTATTCCTTCGTGTGGCAGTTGTAAGCAGGGCCCTGTAACTGCGATACTTTAAGACAAAAAAAAATTTGTATGAAAACTATTGACATCTTATAACGGATAGCCGGCGCCCTACCCCGGACCGAGCGGGAGCCCAGTCGGAGCTATTGAGACGGCGGGACAGGGTTTACGCAGAGCACATTACATCCATCCCGCCGTCCCCCAGACGCCGGACCGGCGGCCGCCAGCGACACGACCGCCGGTTCCCTCGGTCGACGGGCCAAGAGCCCGCATTAATGGCGCCGCGCTACATCTTCCGCCGGACCGGTCGGGGGAACGCGACCTACCACGCCGCCGCACGCCTAGGTTCCTCCCCGCACAAAGCGGGTGGAGCCCGAAGCCCTTAGGGGGCCGGGTTACGGGCGGGACCCCGGTCCCGACCCCCACAGTTAGTGCTTTCTGAAAATTCACAAAGCCCTTTGTTAAAAATAAAATGTAGGATAGATAATATGGTACTGCCACCTACAGGAGCAATAAGAAATTAATCGAAGCGAAGCCATCTAGTGTCCGACGCCCGTAAACATTTTTGTTGAGTTGCTTATCTATAACTAGTTTATGTGTATTATCTATGGTAGTAAGCACATATTAGTCATCCGGTTTGATACATCCCAGGATTCGAACCTCCCTATAGTTGAGAATATGTATGTTTAGAAGACCACTAGATGTGGGTTTTGACATTTAGATGTCTAGAAATAAAACAAATATCCTAGTATCGATTTTAATGTTAAGTTGATAAATTTTATCTATACTAAAGAAAAATATCTATGGATCTCACGATTTTATCACTTCTGTGTTTTGATAATAATAAATCATTATATTAAAATCTCAGATCTGTATTTGTTTTTTATTGTTTTTATTTATTTTAAATTGGAATGATCGGTTTACATAATTTTCTTAACAAAACAAACTGGTTTACCTTCAGATAAAACAACTTAAGCAGGTGTTTAATTTATTCATGAACCAGGAACACAACAGCAGTAGGCAGCCGATTGGCAGGCCACCTAGCGTTGATGTTTTCTATGAGCGACGGTGATTACTTACCATCAGATGGGCCGTATGCTCGACTGCCCATAAGCGCATCTTTTTTTATTTTACTGCCCTTGTAGGCAGACGAACATACGGCCCACCTGATGGTGAGTGGTTACCGTCGTCCATGGACTTTAACAATGCCAGGGGCAGAGCCGAGTCGCTGCCTACCGCTTAATACTCTCCACAAGCCTCGTTTGAAGAAGGACATGTCATAGCGCTCGCATGTCTCATAAAAGTCTCATAAAACTTGAACACACTATTAATATAAGAAATTACAAAACTCAACACAGTAATACATAGAAGACACACGAATTACAGCAATAAATGTGACGTTTCCAATACCTTGCATAATTATTACTATAGCAACTTACTGATCGTAGGAATATACAGGCTGTTGTTTTTTATAAATTCGATTTCTTAGGTAAAAGAGCCTTTAGATCGCCTGGTACTCACCGTTGCTGTAAATCAACAATGGAAAAGGCACCACCAAGTCTGACATATTTATTTGAATTGTAGAAATTGGATTAAAATATCATTTTTTCTTTACTATTCAAGTACAGTTTGTTTGTGAGTGCTGATCTAAAACGATTATTTATCATTAGCAGTAGAAGATGGATAAATAAATAAAACTCATAAAACTACAGCGTAAGCTTATAATATGTTGTGGAGTATCTTATCTCAAATTATTCATGATAACAAATTTGTTGGTAACGAGAACTGCAGAAAACTCGAGTGTTAAGAGATTTCGTAAAAATGCAATTAGGATATTTTAGAGATCGGCTGCAATAATTGCTGCATAAGCTCACATGGATAGATAGCTAAAACAAAATGAGCTAGCATTGCTTACCATTAATGTTCACGGAGTAGTCTCTCCCGTCACCACTGCTAATATCTCGTCTCGAATTAGGTAACTAACGCGATAACTGCATTAATTGAACTAAGTTTAATTCACCCCACTCGGAGACTCGCCCTAGAGAGCTCTCCGCTCCAGACACAAGCTTAGATCGTCTCTCCTGCATCACACTCCGAGAAAGACTCTGATATATCGCGCATCCCCGTGCTGCTATCCGCATAGCAATGCATGCCATCAATAGAGAGCATGTCATTGATATACAAAATGAAAAGCATGGCGAAGAGTACCAAGCCTTGTGAAACGCCAGAATTATAGCTCCGACTTCGCCTTGGCAATAGCCCTCTTGTAGGACCTGGAAGCAGTCACCATCACCAGATAATGTAAATAACTGATAAAAGCGTCCCTAAAAAAAATAATTACTGCACTTATCGAGCTGTTATTAATACTGGAGGTTTTTTTTTTTTTCCACAGGAGAAAATCGCCGGATCCCCACCCGCGCGGCAGGTGGGGTATGTGGGAGTTGAACCTCACTAAAAACTCCTGCCGCTCACAACCGGCGCCCTACCTCGGACCGGCCCGGAGCCCAGTCGGGGCTATTGAAACGGCGGGACAGGGTTGACGCAGAGCACATTACATCCATCCCACCGTCCCACGGACGCCGGACCGGTGGCCGCCAGCGACACGACCACCGGTTCCCTCTTTCAGCGGGCCGAGAGCCCGCTTTGATGGCGCCGCGTTACACCTTCCCCCAGAGCGGTCGGGGGAACGCGGTCTACCATCACCCGGCTTCCTATTGCGGGTGAGCGTGCAAAGCACGCCACCCCACGTCTGAGTCTCTCCCCGCACAAAACGGGTGGGACCCCTAGCTCTTAGGGGGCCAGGTCACGGATACGATCCCGGTCCCGACCCCCTGCTCGGCGGCGGCGGGTTTCTGCGTAGTGAGGAGAGCTTTCCCTCACTCGCCCCGCCGCCTCCTTCTGCGAGATGGTGCACTCGCAGAAGTCAAGCATAGCCTTCCATGACTCATGGCTGCCAAGCATCGACGCCACGACGCCAGGCAGCGACAAGTCAGGTCCTATCTTTGCGGCCAGGACGCGGCGCTGCACCTCCCAAGCGGGGCAGACAGCGAGCGTATGCTCCGCCGTGTCCAGGTCGTGTCCACAATGGTGACACCTCGTCGTCGGCTCAGCCCCTATACGGCGCAGGTACTTCCCGAAGCATCCGTGCCCGGTCAGCACCTGCACCAGACGAAAGGTGAGACGTCCTTCGCCACGATTCACCCAGTCATTGGAGGTGGGTAAACTTTGAGTTAAATACGTACTGGATAGCGTAGAAGTCACAAAATGTATGCCGTCAACCAATTTGATGCCTGAGAACCAAGTCACAACCGGAATTTATCACTGCTTCACTGTAGAAATAGGCAGGATGATAATTTTACCCGTGTGGGCTTATAATACAAAAATAAATTATTTTGTTGTTGTAATATTCCTCTTAAAGTGAAAGCAAGAGAAGTCTTACCACAAAATTTATAGATGTATTTATAGTGACTTTTATAAGTAATAAATATATTTCAAGTAACGCGTAGATTGGTGCGCGAGGTTGTTTGCCTGTAGCAGCAAACGAGTTGACCTGGCCGGCGGTTTTAAGTTAGACAAACCAAACTTCAACTCTAAGTGGGTCATCTGCTTTCAAACTGTCCACACAACAAGACGTGTTAAAATGTAACAAAGAATATTCTCGATATAGCTGCGGAACGCTCAAAGCGCTCGTTATGTTTATTAGAAAATAATTTTAATAATACCGTTTTATTTATACTGACGCTGTTTATTATGCAAGAGAATATTCACGTCAACATGTTTGTCGATTGTTTGCGGGAAATCCGAGGATTTTGTTTGCTATTGTTTTAACGTACCCTCAATAAAGGTATTACAGCTTAATTCTTGTACAAACGGCCTCCGTGCAGTTCGCGATAACAGAGGACATATAGACCACCTGCTGGGGTTATAAAGGAATTTGTTCGGATTTCGACTTAACATAGTGCTGAGGATGAGTGTGGTTAAAGAAGAGTGTTGTGAAGAAGAGAAGTACGAATTAGTTCCTCCCGAAGGAGGTTGGGGCTACGTTGTCTGTGTGGGATTATCTGTAATTTTCGTGAGTACATTTTACTACATATAATTTACAAATTATTTTTAATTTATTTACGGGGCCGATAATTTTGAGATGAGCAGTTCAGGAAATTTCATTTTATTCACGTTTATCATCATTATTATGATGATTATATCAACATTTTTTTTAAGGAATATATTTTAGTCATTCCATTCTATAAAACTCAAAAATAATTTAAAACAAACTTAAAGTGTGCGAATAAAAAATGATATGGAGTTGAATTTTTTCTTCCCGATCTTGAAAGGCCCATGACTGTTTTTGAAACCGGTAGTAGAGCTTTCAATTCTTGAGATGCAACAGCTATTTTTTATTGCATAGACAGGTGAATGAGCTCAGAGGGGCCTTGAAGGGAAATGCTGACTAGAGTCTATAGACATCATAATGTGAATGTCCTCACTCAGCTTTGAAAGACGAGGTCTAAGTCTGAACTATAGAGGACATCGGCTATTCCACCCTTCAAACTGGGACGCATTACTGCTTCGCAGTAGAAATAGGCAGGCGGTACCCAGCGTTGTGGCCTTACAAGACAACCTACCGCTAGTAATTAAGCAAATTATAATTTTTGCGAGTTGGATTTTAAATTACACAATGTTATTACTTCATCGTGGAATTCATGGCTGAACATGTGTTATGTACGTATTTCATTAGAAAAATTGGTATCTACCAGCGGGATTCGAACACCAGCGCAGTTGTACCGCTCCATACAAATGTACTGGGCGTCTTATTCTCTTGGCCACGATGACTTCCTTTCTCTTCCTTTCTTCACCATGTCGAAAACTAATAATTCTTATTCTTATGTACCGCTAGTGAGAGTGCTTTGAGAAGGATTGCCTTCTAATTTCAACACAAGAGAACATAATAATTAGTTAATTTTAAATTTTAATTAGTTAGTTAATAATAACATAATTTATAAACAAAAAAAAACAGGAAATAGCAAGCCGAAGTAAAAGTTCAATTAACATTTTATGTTCGCTCAGTTTTGCATGGTCAGAATGAGATCAAAGTCATACATAGAATTATTACGCGTGCTAATTGTGAAATTAATAGGAAGTATTAAAATTGTTATAAACAAAATGATTCCGTTATAATAATATAAATAGATAGATACAGATCGATCTAATAATAAAAGCGTGTAAAAAAATATTCTTACAAAAAATACCGTAATATATGGCTGAAAATAATAATATATCCGTGCCTAATAATAATAATAGTATATATTGCTCTTTATTGGTAGCTACTAAACGTAGGTACTAACTAACTTCTATGTTTCAATTATTTGGCTCAATTAATTCGTTGCTCATTGTATATTCGATAAGCTTAAAGATGCTCTAATCTTTTCGTCCGAGCACTTAGCATCCATTAGAAAAAAACTCTAACTTAACATAAGGGAATCTTATTTATATACATATATGGTGGTCAAGACCTAAAAAAAATGCTAGAATGAACTGACAATAAAATTCATCTTTTTTTATCCTGCTTATACTCCTTAGGATATTCGAGCGTAGTTATATTATACAATTGATATTTTGTCATCGGTCCTTGATGTGCGTGCAAATTTTCAAACTAATGGGACGACCTGTAGTTGGTGGAAATGAAAATCAAAGATTCCAATACATAAAAATATACGTGGACCAAATATTTCTAAGACTAAGTAAGCTTTTTCTTAATAATAATAAATTCAATATTAAAGTACTTGACTGCTATTATTTAATTACAATTGAAAAAAAAACAACTTTAATTACGTTACCGTATGAATAAAGTTTATCAGGGTAAAGTTATAAAAATGACAACAAACTCCTCTGAACAAAGCTTATTTGAAAGCTTAAGTTGGAGAACAAGGCTTGTTTGTACAAGTTTTTATGAGTTCAAGTTGTTCTACGTTTTTTAGCTTTTAGAAACTTCTAACAGCAGACGACTATCTAATTTAAGCATATTTTTTACTACCTTAGTTGTTTAAAAGTACTACAATTACCGGTGAAAGGACCTGCGACATCGACCCTGTGTCTCAAAGTGGTTTCACGTTCACGTGTGCCAGAGGCAGCCTTTCATTTTTCTGTTTGTTAAACAGGTGAACGAGTCCACTGCCCGTGTGGTTCTAAGCGGTTACCGTAGCCCAAAGACATCAGCCCATCTTAAGACATGAGTTCTAAGCCTCAGTTCTTTTGTACAATAGTTGCCCAACGCTTCAAACCAGAACGCATCGCCCGTTTGGGCTTGTTGAAGAACACTTAAATTTAACACTAGCTGCGCTTTTTTTTCCTACCTCTTCTGGTAGCCTCGAGTAGCTATTCTAGATTCACCGAACTAGTAGGTGAGCTCACGGGGCACAAACCGAGAGTGTTGCTACCACTGGCCCTAGCAAGAGCAGTACTTCCCAGAATCTACCACCGGATCGGAAACGCGATCCACTGAGAAGATCCGTGGGCTGTGTCTATGGGTTACGTCCCACTGAGAAGACTTGGCGAGAGACTCAGTAGGCTGTATCTATGGGTTAATTTACTCGTCGAGCCCTTCGTCGCAAGCGACGGGTTCGGCGAGGACAGTGACCTGTGCTTGAGGTACCTAAAAGCACCGTTAATGGATCGGAAGGATCTGTAATGGCGTGCTTAGGGCGACGTCGGTTGTTTATCATTTGGTCCACCGGATCGGGTATGTAGCTGCGCTGTGAACTCCACAAACAATCAATACTGCATATTTTTTATGCATTTATTTTATTTTAATATATGCATTTTTTTTATTCTACGAGAACCGCAGCTTCTTCGAGAAATCTCAGCTGAATTAATTCATTTGATTTCGAACAGCAGGCTTGACCGATGGAATGACTTCACGATGGAAGTCTTTCGTAAGTGATAAATACACGTTGCCTGCGAGATTTGAAATAAAATTTGATTTGCATCGCTCGATACTACGCGAATATTTGATTTAAACGAAAATTTTGATCTCAAGGCGATAATTGTGTTACATCGAATAAAGGAATTTAATATGAAGTTTTTGTTCGAAAGCCAGTCTGCGGAGTTGTTGCAAAATATTATGAAATATTTAACTAACGGTGTAGTATACTATTCTTAGACTAACTAATGAAGCACGAAGCGGTTCACGACCGGTCCTCGATTTTTTTAACAAGAATGCTAGGACGATTGATAGTCTATTTAACATTGCTGTATGTTATCTTCAAATTTATTGTATATTATTTATTAGATAACCAACTGGAATATAATTTTTATATAGAAACTATGTATGACTGTATATTGTGCTTTCGCCTATATATAAATAGATTTTTTTTTAAGAAATTATTTGATTGATCAGGCCCGTATAATGATCGTGAGATATAATCTACCTAAGCTTTTATTTATATAACCCACTAAGAAGTTGATATAACTTTAAAACATACATGTATATAAGCATACCGACAAAACGTTTACTCCGCTACGTTTCATTTATGTAAAAAATAATAAATTATATGTTCGGATTCATTATATTATTTTTGTAATATTAACTGTGGCAAAAATAAAGTAGAATACAGTAGAAAAAATGGAAAAACGAAGTATTATCCAGATTGCATACTATACGTCCGGTAGATTTCCGGTGCCTCCTCTGCGCCGCATAATGCATTTGATTCTATACCCTGCAAACTGAAATTAACATAATTGATCTAGCATTCCACTTTAAGGTTTTTTTTTTAGAGCGAAAGAATATCTAACCGAACAAATACGGATGAATGAAAGAACTAAATCTACTTAATTTTTTCTTCGCTTTTAGCGATAAGATCGCAAGTTTTACAATTACTAAAGGTCCCGCGGTAGTCGAAATTCGACTATAATTAATTGGAATTGTAAGTTTGTACACTATTATGATTGTATTTTATACTTCTATAATCACAAATTTCGCCAAGACGACACTATAAAAATATTAACAAAGTCAAACAATATTTAATCTATTCTCAATTTGACAACAGACGTCAAGAACAAAAGTTTGACAATAAATAGTATGCATGCGTGTGTGCGTCAAATACATTGTATGTAGTGTGTGTAATGTTTTCTTTATTGATTTAATGTATCTTTTATGCATTATTTTAAAAAAATATTAGTTTTGTGCACTTCTTCTCTATATTCTCTATAAGTGTGGAAAATTTCATACTCCTTCGTCCGCGCATTTTTCGTAAAAAGGGATACAAAGTTTTTGCTTCACGTATTAATATATAGATACATGCCTGTTGACTGTTTTTGAATATTAATGTGTGCAATTCAATTTTTACTCTCTCTCTCTCTCTCCCTCTCTCCTTCCCTCTCTCTTTCTTTTCTCTCTACTTTATCTTTGTATCTCCGAGCTCATTTTACATAAAGTTACATTAACTAAATAGAAAATCTTTTTCACGAGTAAAGTAAAAAAGAATACTACATCAATAACATCTTACTAAATATAGTATTAAGCTTACGTGTAGCTAATTTAAAAGGATTTAAGGAAAACATTGTATCCAAAAATATGAGTCTTAAATGGTTTGTCGAACTATAAATTAGTATTAGTGTTTTTTGTCTAGTGACATTTGCATCAACATGACATTATGGAAATATGCATCTATCTACAGTTAATGACTGCATCTAAAATAGCGGCAAAAATGTCATTAGAAATACGAAGTAGGCACACCTATACTAATATTATAAAGCTGAAGAGTCTGTTTGTTTGAACGCGCTAATCTCAGGAACTACTTACTGGTCCGAATTGAAAAATTCTGTCAGTGTTAGATAGCCCATTTATTGAGGAAATGAGGCTATATAACATCACGCTAAGACCAATACAAGCGGATCACCAATAAAGAATGTTTCAAAATCGGGGTTTTTCCCCTTCTGAGAGCTTTCGCTACGTGCGCTGCAGAAACGGTTAAAGTTTTGCTAAAATAATGTATGACAGAATTGTTCCCCTTTAAAAGATCTAAAAAAAGTCCGCGACAGCATATGTCTATATGTTAAGGTTGGCTCACTATAACGTTTTTTATGCTACCCAAATTTATTCTAAAATAAAGCATTATTTGTGAACTATTATACGCGGACGAAGTCGCGGGCAAAGCTAGTATTAAAATATTTTGTAAGTTGTCGTGACCTAAAGGATAAAACGCTCGGTAAATTCGCATCAAGCGATGCACCGGTGTTCGAATCCCGCAGACAAGTGCCGATTTTTCTAATGTAATACGTATTTAACAAATGTTCACGATCGAAGGAATAACATCGTGTAATAAAAATCAAATCAGTAGCACCACCCTGCCTATTTCTGCCGTGAAGCAGTAATGCGTTTCAATTTGAAGTGGCAGCCGTTGTACTGCAAAAACTGAGACCTCAGAACCCGTGTTTCGAGGTGGGTGGCGGTATTTACGTTGTAGACATCTATGGGCTATGGTAACCACTTAACACCAGGTGGTCCGTGAGGTCATCCACCAATCGAACCAATAAAATAAAAAATCTGGTATGGCATACTTGTGTATGTGTGTGTAGGAGGAAGTTCTTTGGTAAGTTGTTTTAATAAGAAGAAGAGAAGAATAATTATTCTTCTCTTCTTCTTATTCTCCGTGTTACCAATTGGTAATTGCTTGTAAGATTTAAACACCGGCTTTATCGTGTCGCGCTATGTAAGAAGAGGAATTATAGAGCCCGGGCGGCCGGTAGCTATGTCATGACTATCAGTGTATTTGGAGATCTACTTCAATTACAAATGATTTTGATTTTCAATTTGGACGTCCCGCCACGCTATTAATAATTCCGAGGCTGCGATTTCCACGCGTCAGCTGATTGTGCCACTGGTCAATTTCTGAACGTCCAAATGTCAGCGAGCGACGTCCGCCATTACACCAATTCTCTTTAAAATCCAACCGCCAAGAGCAATGCACCAATTTTATATTTCTCTTATAATATTAAGCCTTTAATTTGCCATATAAGGGTAAAATAAATATCTCAAAACAATAAATACAGTCCACGCTAAATTACCTCAAGTTTACAGCCACAATCCGTGCAACGCAAACAATATGAGCAGTAAATGTTACATTTTTCACAATCAAAGACCGCTTTAGCGTCTTATTGAACGATCATGAAAACACTTTTTCATGGTATTTTTTCTAACGTGCTTACAAAAATCAATACAAATATGTATAATGGAGTTAGTAATCACGAGCATATAATGCCTCATTTCATATTCCTTTTCAAGTACGACTCTACTTAACCAGTATTGCAAAGACGACGCGAAAATGTTCTAAATGGATGTAAGAAGAATTCATTGAACAATCCGAGAAAACGCATATTGTCTTTACAATACTAGAATAAATGCATTGAATATCATTATCATTATTTCCAAGATCAGTGAACAAACACTACTTGAGTGACAAGTTAATCATAACAAATTAGATAATGTAAATTATTTGTACAAATGAAGACATTACAACTAAACTATCATTCATATTTTTTGAATTGTTGTGTCAGCCTATGAATACTACTTAACCCTACTCATTTATATTTAAAAGTTCTGGAAACTTTGACTTTTTGTGTAAAGATAGAATCTGTAGGGCATAGAGGTCATAAGATGATGCTTTTTATTTTAGAATCAAACTTTAAATCTATTTCGATAAACATAATTGAGACTATTTTTAATATTATAATAGCATGTATTTGCTAAAAAAATTTTTATTGCTTAGTTTAGTTAGTTACTGCAAATTTTAGTTTTGCGAGTTTGATTTTTACTACTCGGTGTTATTCCTTCACCGTGGTAGTAAATCGTGAACATTTATAAGTACGTATTTCATTAAATAATATGGTATCCGCCTGCGGGATTCGAACACCGGTGTATCGCTACATACGAATGCACCGGACGTCTTATCCACGACGACTTTTGTAGTAGAATTTAATTTAGAAGCGTAGTTTTATAATTTTAAAAACAAACGTTAATATTAGTTTCTTCAGAAAAATTTCGTCAATGAGAATTAAAAAACAAAGGGCTTGGGTTAGACTCAACAAAATGTTATAATTTGTCAATACAACAAAGGGCAACCCAGCATAATGTGTGTCCGACGGAGGACGTCTTATTGATTTTTATTACACTATATCATTCCTAGAGGATGGAGCCGTCGGTATTAATACATCATGTATTAATATGATCATGAACATACTTACATATGTATATGCTTTAAACGTTCCAAGGTCACACACAAAAGGCCATTCATATAATTCAATAGCTCATTCGCGAAGCAACTACTCTTGAATTATTAGGTCTCCTTCGGAGGCGCTCAGGCAACTGTTGGCAAATCCCACCCCTCCTGGCTGAGCCTTTGCTCACCCGCTTATCCTGGTGAAACTTGAAAGACCTTCAGGCAACCAGTAATCCGTCAGTCATAAAAAAAACTCAATAGCTAAGACACATAGTTTTTTATGTTCACGTCAATGACACTTAGAAAACATCATGGATTTTATAAATGCGTAAATGTATGCAGTTTAATGATAGATACTCTCTAATCTAAAAGCACTTTTTTACCTAAAATCGTTTGTTTGTAATAAATGCTGGTAGACTGATTGCTTCCGAGAATTCGAATTGCGAATCGGCGAATTTTTAGAACGTTTTTATTCGTTATCAAGAAATGTCGTCTTTTCTTTGTGCTGGCTAATACCTATATAATTAAAACTAGGTTTTGTATTCAAATGCGGTTATTAGGACCGGCTTAGACAAGCAAGATTTTTGAACGCATTTGGTGGGCTTATTTTCTGACATTCATGTTTTTGCCTTTGCTAAGTAAGATGGGTGTATCGTAAATCGTATCCCGCCATGAATGGCCGGACTTACTACCACTGAAGAATCCTAACTGAGACTTTGTTTTCAGATTGCTGGCACCGCGCATCAGCCTGTTTTTGGTTTCATATACAATGATTTTCTGGACGAGCTTGGCGTCGGTACTGGCGCCGTTACAGTTATATATGGAGTGTTTCAAGTCACATTAGCTATTGCCGGTAGGTTTCACCTCCGCTTAGTGTGTATTTACTCCTCCCGATCCACTAATGGTGCTTTTAGGTACTTTTTCACCGTTCTCGTCGAACCCGTTGCTTGCGACGAAGGGCTCGACGAGTAAATTAACCCTCAGACATATCCCACTGAGTTTCTCGCCGGATCTTCTCAGTGGGTCGCGTTTCCGATCCGGTGGTAGATTTTGCGAAGCACGGCTCTTGCTAGGGTTCATGTTAGCAACGTCGTCAGGTTTGAGCCCCGTGAGCTCACCTACTAGCTAAGGTTACGCTGGAATAGCCTCTCAAGGCTACCAGATTAGGTAGGAAAAAAAAAGCGTATTTACACTGGGGATATTTTTCAGAATTTACATAAGAACACATTAAGTGAATTTTACTATTCTAGTATAGAATAGATTTTACTATATACACGTGTTATTTTCTTCTTTGTTAAGTCACTTTACAAAAACTATGTTGATTCGTTTTGCGTGAAAGAAAGATGAGGCAATAAACGTGCCATCGTATTTGTAAAATATTGTCTAAATAATTCTTTCTTAAATAAAATATAAGACGTTACTTTAATTCCATTAAATTTTACTTAAAATGACTGCTATTTTCACTTTTTCACGTAGCTTACTTTACGACGCTATTATTAAATAAATGCTCATTGGATTCTTAGGCAATGTCACGTGACTTCCACCGCCCATTTTGAGACATGAGTTCCAAATTTCAATACTTACTGGTCTGGTTTAATTAAGTGTTATCAACCCACATTGGGTTAGACTTTATGACAGATCCGCAATTTGATTACTGCGTAAGCAAAAAGAAAGGCTACAATGAGCCAATTCGCTTAGTCCATAATTAAACTCAATTAGTTTCAAAACTTATCAGACACGTACCTCGATCGTAATGCTAAGAATGTTGCGTAACATTATTGAAAAAAGGAATGTTTGTTAAAGAAATATTATGCAATTCAAATAAAACGCTGTAACCGCATAACGGATTCTATTTTTATACGTATTACTGTTTCTAACGATCATGATTTTTTGAAAAAAAGTATTGTATTAAAAACAAGTGTAACGCTAAACCAATAGATAGCCAGCTTTACATTTTTAGTAAAAAATTTACAGTTGTTAGTATTATTTTTGTAACCATTTTTGTAAGCGATGAAGGTACGTGTTAGCAGTCATTTTGTGAGCGAATTACATTAGTTGTAGTACGGTTTTAAAAGGACAAAATTTACACAAAATAGCTTAATTTCGTAGCACAAATCACACTCATTTTAGCTTTAGAGGAACGTAAAAAAAGTCATATTTCTCGTGTTACAATCATTATGTGTGCAGACCACAAATGGTAATCGAACCTTATTTAAAAATATTTTCGAAATGTTTCAAATTGTCCTATACTGCGGATCATTTTGACAATTTTTGTGTCTAATCTTAGAGTTTGTTTTATTTTTATCTTATCTACCTCATATTTCCTCAAGTTGTAACCCCGAGTTAATTTTATTTTAAATTTATAGTATGCTTTTGTTTTTATATATTTTGTGTTTATGAGTAATGATACTGTAAGTAGTTCTAATTGATCTTAAAGGTAGCGAAAATGTTTTTTTCCTGTACCTTTTTTTTTTCTTTTGCCTAACTTTAGTAGTATGATCGTTTTAGATTTTTTTTAGTGTTTACAGTCTTATATTAATTTTAGAGCAGTAAGCAAAATACAACTTAGCAAATATATTTGTCACAGATACTTACGATAATTTGTTTGATACGCACATTTTTTGCGTTCCTGTAAATATGTCCAAAGTTGTATTTCAAAATATTAGCTATTTTTACCTTTTCAATTTTTGCATTTTTAGGTCGCATACCTTAAAACTATTACGTTTTTGTTATCATATCAAGTGTTACACCCTACTATTCTAAATATTTTATAAACCTGTTTACTTACAGGTTTTTCGGCGAACATAGCTTTGAAAAGTCTTTCATTAAGACAAGTCGGTCTTATAGGTGCCTTTATATACACACTAGCATCATTCCTAGCAATATTTGTAGTATCCACAACTCAGTTAATTGTCACAAACGGATTCCTACAGGGCCTCGGAATGGGTCTACTAATTCCGGTGTCGTATACTAGTTTTAACAGTTACTTTACAAAGAAAAAAGTGCTGTATTTGAGTCTGTGTAAGGCATCTATTGGATTGATAACGATGCTGTACCCGTTGTTTATAAAATTTACGATAACCCAATACGGGTTTAGAGGGACTCTAGCGATTATTTGTGCCATATCAGCTCACAGTATCTTGGGAGCTCTAGTCATGCATCCTGTACAATGGTATATGGTGAAGAAATTGAAAACGTGCGAAAAGATTGTCCGTGAGTATTAATAATTAATTTTTATTAAATTAAAATTCCTTACCACCGCGTCTTATTTATTGGTTAATGAATATTAATATAAAGTGGTCACTAAAATTTTTAACAATGTTGTGATTGGTTGAAGAATCAAGTCGTAAACATACGAATTTGGAATTTTTTCCAATAAAATTGAGACATTAACCTCAAGTTTCAAGTTGTTAAGTTGTTTGAAACCAACTTTTTTCTAACATGTAACAATTTAAAGGCTGTACCGTATTTCGTTTTTAGAAAATCTCATAATTCAAAATATCAAATTCAAAAAGTGAATTTTGAATACAAGATATTATATAATAATCTAATTTATCAAAAAAAGAAGAAGAAAGTAATAGTCAAAAGTGAAATATGTACTAGATAAGTTAAATTTTATATTGTACTAGCGACCCGTCCTCGCTTCGCTTCGCAAACATTAAATTTTATTATTGATAGCCGAGTCCCGCAATGATACCCGCGGTTATTGTCGTACCACCGACGGTGACACCGCGTGGCGAAACTAGTCTAAAAAAGTTACTCCTTATATCATCAGCTACCTATTAGTGAAAGTCACGACTAAATCGGTCCAGCCGTTTCAGAGATAAGCCGGAACAAACAGACAGACAGACAAAAATAGTAAAAAATGTTATTTTGGTGTATGTGCCACATATATTTTATATTCATATGCATGTAGTAAAAAGCGGTTATTTCAATATTACAAACAGACACTCCAATTTTATTTATATGTATAGATGATTTGAGGTTTTCTTTCTAATAATTAGAAGACACGAACATGCAATCGTAGCCTCATATCATTTACCCTGCCTTTTTTGTAACAATACTTTCTTATGATCGGTTCATACTATAAATATATTTTTTCTTGCTCAGGCGGGTAAACAATTTCACGGCTTGGCTGGTATTAAGTGGTTATCGGAGCAAATGAACATCAACAAAGTAGATACCGCCGCCCATCTTAAGACATACTATCTTCTAAGTCTGAGTTCTATAATACAACGGCTGCCCCGTCCTTCAAACCGAAACGCATTACTGCTTCACGGCTGAAATAGGCAGGGTGGTGTTACCTACCCGTGCGGGCTCATAACACGCCCTACCACCGGTAATTACGCAATCTATAATTTTTGCGGGTTTTATTTTTTTACACGACGTTATATCTTCATCGTACGTATTTTATTAGAAAAATTGGTACACCGGCAAAGTCGAATCACTCGACACCAAAATATCGGGCATCTTATCCTTTACGATGACATCTTTACTTATTATTCTATATAAATTCCAAGCATTATTTCGATCTTTGGTACTTGTAAAAGTTATAATCCCGCACAGGTCAGTACTGCTTTTCTCCTATTTACGTTGAAAAAATCATGCCTATCAATACAGAAAAGGAAAGTAATTGTAAAAAAAATATATTAAATAGATTACCGTGAACAAGCTTATCATGATAATAAGGTTATATATATATGGTGACTTTACATAGTACTACTTATAGTATACCTATATGTATATGTTAGGGGTAAGAAGCCAATATAATGAACATATTTTTTGGTTGCTCACCGGTTTGTCACCTCTAATTTCGACTCCGAAACTATTTTTATCAACCACCATATTACATCCACAATTTCTTTTAGTGATACCACCGACGCCGGCCATTGAGGCGGGAAAAGAAAAATTCCATTTCAATTCCAACACGACGACAGCCAAAGGAGCGGAAAACGCGAGATCAGTGGAAAACTTGTACGCAATGAAACGGATGGGGAGTCAAAAACCCACGGAATTGCTATTCGTTCCGAAATTAGCTGATTCCAGGCGACTGAGTATACCGGTGGTTTTGATCCCAGGGGAAACGAAGGCTGATAGCAAATTTAATTCGAGCGATAATGTGTATTTAGAGAATTTGTATAAGGCAGCTTCGGTCTCCAGTTTGGGTAATTTCGGGAATATCGCAGCTGAACCAATGCCAGTTATCAAGAACAAGGAAGGAAAGTGGTAATGAGTTATATTTTTTTGGCATTATCTTTTTAAAATCTTTATTATAAAATAATATATTCGTGTCAATTAGTTTAGGTATATTATATATATATATATATATATATATTAATACTTAAGCAAAAACTTTGTATCCCTTTTTAAGAAAATTGCGCGGAGGGAGAAGTATGAAATTTTCCACGGTTATAGAGAATAAAGAGAAGAAGTGCACAATGCTAATATTTTTTTACAATAATGCATAAAAGATACGTTAAATCTATAAAGAAAACATTACATACACTACATATCATGTATTTGACGCACACACGCATGGACACTATTTATTGTCAAACTTTTGTTCTTGACGTCTGTTGTCAAATTGAGATTAAATATTGTTTGTCTTTGTTAATATTTTTTATAGTGTAGTCTTGGCGAAATTTGTGATTATAGAAGTATAAAATACAATCATAATAGTGTACAAACTTACAATTTCAATTAATTATAGTCGAATTTCGACTACTGCGGGACCTCTAGTATATTTTAATTTACCAGCTGATTCCAGCAAAATACTGCACCGAATTGCTTTATTTCACATCAAGTATTCTAACGGTGGTATTATAATAAAAATCTTCAAGAGATAATCACTGTACAAAATTAAATAATAACAAATAAACAAACTGGGACCAAATTACGCACTGTCATCCGGCCTCAATATAGGATTCCTTATGTTATGGGTACCAGAGACTGACATATATACTCGTACGTACCTACTTATATACGTATAAATGTATATATTTATATAGCTAATAAGAACTCAGCCGAAGAGCCAACAAACCTGTTCATCACACAAATGTTTGACCGATGTGGGAATCGAACCCACGACCCTCGGCGTAACAGTCAGGGGCACTAATTACTGCACCATCGAGTCAGTTAAAGTACAATTCTATGTACACCTAATTCGTTAGTCATGCGGATGTTTGTCTTGTACTTTATCAATTTGATGGTAGCTATCAATTATATTATAATTCCCTGCTAATTTGAAAAGGATCGGCTTTCATCCCTTACTTATATTCTTATATATATATCTATATCGTTCCCTCACTGCTGAGGATCGCAACCACATGTGACGTTCCTCCACTGTGTTCGGTCATGGATGGCATGGATTGCATGGTACAGACTACCACCTAGTGCTTCCCTTACTAGATCTGACCATGTGGTTAGTGTTCTGTTCACTGCGCGCTTGCCTTCTATGCGACCCGCAATTATGAGCTTTTCTAATTCATGTCTGAGAGACCGCATGATGTGTTCGAAGAAGCTCATAACATATTCCCGACAGATGGCAAAGAGCCTTTTTCGGATGTTTAGCTCCTTACTTATAATCCACCGTTATTTAACACAGGCTCTGGTCTTCGAAGTGCTTCTTTATTCAAGTCAAACTTTCCCCAGTAGCTCATTATATAAGCGCTAATAGATGACTTAAATAAAAACTACGAATATACTCGAAAGTATGTTTATATTTATGTGACGAGAATATTAATAATTTTAAAACTAAAATATGGGCAACTAAGCAATAAAAAAAAAAAAAAAAAAAAAAAACTACGTAGAAGAACCAAACTATGGTATCTACGAAAAAATATATATGTGTCTATCTCACAGATCCTTCGGCTACCAGAGCCCATAAATATCACAAAATCAATGCCAATTAAACCCACCATGAGGCAGTTAGAAATATGTATTAATTGTATTTTATTATGTATAGTGTCTATAAAACTTTACAACTGTAGAGACATGAGAGCAATATTCTTAGAAATTTCGATGCTACTAGACTGACCATTTTTTTTTACTGTTGTGAAAGGTTAAATATTTAAAATTGAATTGAGTTATAAAAACGTGATAAAAATAAACCAGAATGAACGAAATGTAGGCAACGTTTTGCCGGTGTATTTTAGCAGTATACAATAAAATCATTTAAGCAAAACATGTCTGCATTAGAATCGATTTTATATTTACATGGTTCTAAAACATTCTATCGTTTAAAAATATAATGTTAAATTATTTTATAAATTTGAATAGGTTCAAGGTTGTGACATAATATTTACGTTGGAGTTAAAATTTTATTCAAGAATTTTATCATTTTTAACTGAATGGAAAATAAAAGTTGATCATTAAATTTTATATCTTTTCCGTTTTTCGTTATATATTTTATAAAATTAATGGTGTTTCGCTTCCATTACATGTTCAATCATGCCTATTGGAGTGTCTATAAATTCTATGATCCCCAATAATGTCTCATGATAAATTTAGTGTTTCGATTCACAGGCAAACGATAATGGAATACTTGGATCTGACTTTACTCAAAGATTTGGTTTACGACAATATCATTGTCGGAATGGCTTTGACATTTTTCGCTGATCTAACTTTCTTCACTTTGGAGCCTTTATTCTTGGATAAAGTCAATTTGAATCGGGTGAGATATTCAAAAATATTTTAAAGACCATCATTATTTATAACCGAGGCTAACAGGCTAATTGATTTTTATTGCCATGATAAGTAGACTTCCTCAGGGTCCACTCAGTATTAAGTTACCGTCCACCATAAAACAGTAGGTCTCAAAACCGGAACTTACTACTGCTTTGCAGCAGAATTAGGCAAGTGGAATCCAGCAAACCGGGCTTGTAATATGTTCTACCACAAATCTGTATTGCTTATTATTCTCGTTAGAAAACTTCGAACTAGCTTTCGACTCGAACGAAGCTTTTGCTTTTGGCAAATTCACAGTTATTTATCGGATCAACTCGGCCACCAATTGTGCATTAATCGCACAAAGCCAAGAATTTCCACGGAAGCGCTGATAGCAACTGAACAAAGTTTAACCAGTCGCATGAACAATTCTTGAAAGTCTCAACTCAGTCGGATGAATGATGCTTTAATGCAGATGAATTCACTAGTTCAATGATCTATATTTACATTTATATCTTTTTAATCCAGTTCGAAGTTTTTTTTTTTTATCGCTTAGATGAGTGGACGAGCTCACAGCCCACCTGGTGTTAAGTGGTTACTGGAGCCCATAGACATCTACAACGTAAATGCGCCACCCACCTTGAGATATAAGTTCTAAGGTCTCATGTTTTAGTTACTCTACTCAGTTTTATTTATTCTACTCAGTTTTAGTTATTCTACTCAGTTTTATTATTTATTCTCTGAACGCGAACATTATCACAAAACAATTACTCTTCGTCACATTACCGTGGTTTGCTTTTAAGCTCAATTGTGCAATATAGTGTTGGGCATATCGAGCTATTCACTGAAAAGCTTTGTTTGCGTTTTTTTTATTGCTTAGATGGGTGGACGTAGCTCACAGTCCACCTGGTGTTAAGTGGTTACTGGAGCCCATAGACATCTACAACGTAAATGCGCCACCCACCTCGAGATATAAGTTCCAAGGTTTCAGTTTATTTACAACGGCTGTCTCACCTTTCAAACTGAAACGCATTACTGCTTCACGGCAGAAATAGACAAGGTGGTGGTACCTACCCGTGCGTACTCACAAGAGGTCCTCCCACCAGTACATGAATGATTTGTTGTTAATTTTCCATTTCATTTTCCTCAGAGCCAAATTGCTAACATAATAGCTTTAGGCGGTGCTACGGACATGTGCGCCAGATTGTTCCTGGGCGTGGCGGGACAGTTCTTCATTATGAATAGCCGGTATATGTTCTTCATAGGAGCCCTTTTTGCAGCCGCTTTTAGATTGGGTAAGATATTTTAATAAACTATTTTCGAATAGAAATTTCCCCCCTTCGGTAGGCAGCGGCTTGGCTCTGTCTGCCCTGGCATGGCAGTCCATGGGCGATAGCAACCACTCACCATCCGGGTGGGCCGTATGCTCGTCTGCCTACAAGGACATTAAAAAAAGAACCCTCTGCCCATACATACCTGGGGGTTGAAAGGAAGTGTAATTTATTTTCCATAGTTCAAACTTTTTCCATACCGAATTTTCTCAAAGTCGCGTTTATTGGTTTAACCGGTTTGGGAATGAAATCGAAACAGTCACACTGATTTACTTTAGTATTTACAATATTATATAGTATACTTATATAGTATATAGGTATTGGCACTATTTTATGACCTCGAAACATTCGGAACATATTTCATAAAAACCTTTCTTATAAATCTGAAGAAATACATACAACACTTTGAATATTCTAAGGAAAAATACAAACAGAACTCGATGTAGTTTTAGCGGTTCTAAAACAGATTCTGTTTCCGCAATGGTTAATCCTTATAATTTATTTATAATACAACTAGCTGACCCGGCAGACTTCGTAGTGCCTCAATCGATAAATAAAAGACCTAAACTTTTGTATAAAATAAACATCAAGGGAAAAACAAAATTTTTATTTTTATTTAATTCCGAGCATTTTCATATTTTTTCACCTTTAAACCTTCTCTGGACTTCCACGAATAATTCAAGACCAAAATTAGCCAAATCGGTCCAGCCGTTCTCGAGTTTTAGTGAGTTTTTTAATTTTTATATAAATATATACAATTTTAATTTATGGAAATTGTACTTAGTACAATATTAAAAGTACCATATCTATATTGGTAATAAAGGCGTAAAATAGTTTTAAGGGCTACCGGTTCTTAAATACTTACCGGTGTCCACTGTTATCACACCGAGAGTAGCTTTGAGACGTGAGGTCAATGTTTGGGAGTCACCGTTGATACACTACTGGCCTGCATGTGTCTGCTCACAATACGTCTTCCACGTCCTTACGGATCCATCACATCTAATAACCTTTGCATTAGACGCCTTCAGCTATAACACTAGGAGGAGGCTTAGGGACCCTGGTAACCGTACTCGTCGAACTCGATAAAGAGTTCGACGTGCAACCTAACCCATGCATCAGCCCGCCGAGTTTCTCGCCGGATCTTCTCAGCGGGTCGCAAAAAGAAAACGCCTTCACGAAAAGTTAACAAATAACAAGTATTATTTGAAATTAAAAGTGTCGTAGCTGGCTGCTAACTAGGGCATTTTAAATTCTGTTGAAATGTAAATGCCAAATATACCTATTGTAGATAAAAATAGAGACAGTTACGGCCCATTTATAGCATGATTCATAACTTTAACAAAACCATTCAATAAAAATTTATTTTAGAATTTCTCGTTCACTAAAATACATGTTTTTGATAAATGTCGTCTTTAGATATGAATAACGGCAATTGTAATAGTTTTGATGATCATTTAGGAATCTTGCTTAGTGCTTGCATCTAGTGTTCAGAATTCAGAATAAAATTAAAAGATGGTTGAAATAATAATAATGAAAAACTACTTAGATTTCGGTAAGTAAAAACGGTATTCTTTCATTTCAAACAAGCACATACCATTAAATTACTTATAAAATACACTAAAATACACAATTAGTAGATCGCGGCCACTCTTCACATTTACTGTGGCTAAAACAATTACTTGAAATTACGCACACGCAAGTACATCGATGGTACAATAACAAAATCGACGTTGGAAGTCGTCGTAGCCTAAAGGATAAGACGTCCAGTACATTCGTGTTGAGCGAAGCACCGGTGTTTCGAATCCCAGGCGGGTACCAATTTTTCTAATGAAATACGTACTCAACAAATATTCACGATTAAACTTCCACGCTGAAGGCAAAACATCGTGTAATAAAAATAAAATCCGCAAAATTATAATTTGCGTAATTACTGGGGGTAGGACCTCTTGTGAGTCCTCACGGGTAGGTACCACCACCCTGCCTATTTCTGCCGTGAAGCAGTAATGCGTTTCGGTTCGAAGGGTGGGGTAGCGGTTGTAACTATACTGAGACCTTAGAACTTATATCTCGAGGTGGGTGACGCATTTACGTTGTGAATGTCCATGAGCTCCAGTAACCACTTAACACCAGGTGGGCTGTGAGCTCACCTACCTTAAGCAATAAAAAAAAACTTCCATGAACTACCAACATCAAATGAGTCAAGTTTCAATCCACACATACGCACACATTAATAATGTAATATATGGAACACAGAATATATTCATTAAAAGCAAATAAAATGTTTTATGTTCTATGCATCAACCAATGTAAATGACGAAGTGGAATTCTTCAAAAACATGCCTGATAAAAAAAAATCTTTGCATTCCAAACTACAGAACTTTTTGAATACGGAAAAAGGTTATAGACAAAATAAAAATAAGTTGTTACGAGAATTTATGTACACCTGATTTAATTTAAATACTCATTTTTATTTAATTTAATATTTATTCGAAATATCGTTGCGCTTAGTCAATTGTGAATCGGTTTTAAGCAGATTTTTAATCAAGGTTGATCCATTAATTATTTGAGCTAAACCAAAAGAACAAAAAAAATTGTGTAGCTATTATAATTTTTTACTAGACCCCGATTCACGATTTGAATACCTAGCATATTATTAGTTTCAAGATTTTTTTTAGGAATCCTAAATTAAATAACTCGAAAACAGATCTCTTAATGTTTTGACAAATCCATTTGGTCATAATAGACACCTAATTGAGAGACTACACCACATAGATGATGTTTGAATGGTGCTTTCTTTGGAACGTTACATGAAACAATGAAAAAAAGGATGGCACTTCCGACTTTTTAATTGTAACACAATTTTTTTTCGTATCTATGGTTAGAGAGGTGATGCGATTTGGGTTCTATTTATTACACTGTATAAATAGTCATGTACATTGACGAATTCTATGACAAAGGCATTATCTGTGAGTCGATCAAGGATGATGTAGAACCGAATTACCGTATTTACTGGTGGTAGGACCTCTTGTGAGTCCGCGCGGGTAGGTACCACCGCCTTACCTATTTCTGCCGTGAAGCAGTAATGCGTTTCGGTCTGTAGGGTAGGGCAGCCGTTGTAACTATACTGAGATCTTAGAACTTATATCTCAAGGTGGCTAGTGCATTTACGTTGTAGATGTCTATGGGCTCCAGTAACCACTTAACAACCAAAAAAAATGTAATAGATGCATTGATTGATGATGCGCAACATGCGAAATTTTACCTTTTGATATTTAGTTTACTACGGAACCCATTTGTAGTCAAATACACAGTATAGCCCGGTTTTTTTTCTACGCTTTGAATATGCATAAGTAATCGATTTATATGCAAACGCACTTTTATTGTCTATATTGACTCTAAATGCAGTGGTACGTTGCCAGTTTTTTTAATTGTACCAGTTTGGTTCGCTTTTGGTAAGCGTTCGATGAGTTTTCGCTTTACCAATCATTTCAAAAGTCACATATTATACATACGTGTATTTAATGTTGTATATCTTGTAGAGTTTCGAATGTTTCTCTCGTTTACGTACTCTGTGTTCCGGTTTGAGTGGTATGTTAGCCGTTATTGCGACGCAATTGAGCTTGCATAATCATGGAATATTATTTTTATGATTGAAAGATTACTTGTAGCCCGGAGGCCTTTCCAGTTTCACCAGGACAGGTGGGCGAGCAAAGACTCAGCCAGGAGGGGTGGGATTTGCTAACAACTGCCCGAGCGCCTCCGAAGGAGACCTAACAACTCAAGAGCAATTGCTTCGCGAATGAATCTAATTTTTAATATACCTTATTCGTATATAAATTCTATGAAATAAATTAAAATTCTATTGCTGGTCCTTAAGCAAGAGGTATTTTGATGCCCAACTGTTTCCATGGGTGTCTATCTGCGATCCAAATCACGGTGTAGTCATATCCCTCGATCCCATAGACACAGCCCACTAGTTTGTTGCCGGATCTTCTCAGTGAGTCTGAAATACTGCTCTGGCTAAGCTCAGTGTTTGCGACGCTCCTGGTTTTAGCGCCGAGAGCTACACGTTATGGTTACGCTGACATAGCCTCTTAAGGCTATCAGATTAGGTAGGGAAAAAAAAGAATCCCTCGATACAAGTGCTATGGGCTTCCATGGATCACAAACGCTAAATAACAGATAGCAGAGTCAGATCAGAGAATACTAAGGTGATGATAGTATGTATGTCTCTATGCGAACATACTTATATGTACTACTACTACACGCGTTTAATGTATCTGTAGTAACAGTGTCTACACGAAGATCATTGAACTCTGACCCACATCAATTTCCTATTGTAAAGAGTTCGGGTCGATCCAATTATGGTATATACAAACTCCATCATTCATCTAACTCAATTTGTTCTGTTACAGTTATGATACAATTCACAACATACCTACCTCTACTAATATTGACTGGTATACTCGGAGCATTGAGGTCTTTGGTGCATATAGCGCAGCCTATAGTGATGGCTGAACACGTTCCCATAGAGCTGTACCCATCGGCTTATGGACTCTACATGTTACTCGCCGGAGCGATTAGTTTGAGTGTCGGACCCATGATAGGTGAGAACCAATTATTTTACTCTACTAAAATTCTTGTCAAAGTCTGTCATCATTTCAAATTAAATCATAGTCATGCTCGTCACTGGTAGTCAATTTCAGTTTGTTATTTGTTCAAAATTAGCTTAAGCCCTGAGGTATTTTGAAAACACAAAAACTTTAAGTGTTTGTTTAAATTCAGAGCTTTGTAGAGTCGATGTAGAACAGAATTAAGCGGAATTTGATGGAGATTAACTGATTTCATCTTTAATACCGAAATATTCATGATCCAGTTTTTAACGACTTTAATACATAGATTTGATTGGTAAGATGATAGTGGATTCGTACTAGTTAGTACAAGTACTATTTTTTTAAATTTATTCATGTATTCAGAAGATAAAAAAAGTGATGGTGGAAGATATTAAACCAAATATATTTTTTACTTCTCGGGACAGCTTCCCACCAAAAAAGGAGATAGTACCAATCCATATGAGTTCACATGATGCCGGTGGCCAAATTAGCCACTAATATTGTTTGTATTAAAGCGTATTCAAAAACAGAATATATTCGCCATGACTGAAGTCGTCACGAATCATTAATTTAACATTCAATTAATGATCAATTTGATTAATTATTTTTCGTAGATACTATTTTATAGGTTAACAACCTTGAGAAGAATACCAAGTTATACGGTCAGTTCACCAATGAAGCCAACTAAAACAACATAAACCGGTTTAAACCTTTTAAAATGGCTCTTTAATTACACTTACAAAAAATGTGTTTTTCTATAACTCCGGAACTAGAAATGTTGATTTGATGTGTCCATCGGAATTTATTTACATAACTGTTTTTACCTCTACTACGTTCGGTTATGTGTTGCTGTTTAATATTTAGAGTTCAAATTTGAACAAAGCGCGCATACCAATTTAATCATTCACTTAATCTAATCCCACGATTTGGGTTCAAAAGTTCTTGACTTTCTGGTTTTACATAAGTAATTTAGAGTATATTTTACAAACATTTCTTATGTTTTTTCCTACCTAATCGTTGATAGCCAAAGGGGCTATTCCAACTACTCTTTGGCTGGTAGGATCTTTCGGGCTCAAACTGAGAGAATTGCTAGCACTGACCCCCTAGCAAGAGCAGCAGTTAGCAAGACCCACCGAGAAGATCCGGGTTATCTAATGTTCGCAGGAAATACATATAGGAACTTAGAACATGTAGCAGGAAATAAAAGATATTTTAACTGATTTATGATAACTACATAACACGTTCATTTATAGTTTATATAAACGTTTTGGTTTTAACTATATGGTCAATTTTCGATGTGAAAATTTTAATAGCCAGGATATTTCAGTAACTGCTTATCGCTATGTGGCGTGCGTAAGCTCTCCTGCCCAATATTAAAAGTAATTTGTTTAATAATATCCTATTTATTGCATTAGGTGCATCAGTTTAAATTTTATTGTATTTTCCATCAATTAACTTTCGTAATATATAGTAATATCAATGTGACACATGCAAAAGATCTACTCGTCTTTTTGTTTTCATTAACCGAACAGTAGCTTTTTGATTTACATTCGAAGAAATTAACGAACAATTATCCAAGTATCCAGTACCTAATATCGGTAAGCACCCCTATGCCAATTTTTGAACCAAAGGCAGTTTTTGACACCACAGGAGCGACGATTGTGTTAAAAAAGTTTACTTCGGTAGGCAGCCGCTTGGCTCTGCCCCTGGCATTGCTGAAGTCCATGGGCGACGGTAACCACTCACCATCAGGTGGGCCGTATGCTCGGCTGCCTACAAGGGCAATAAAAAAAAAAAAAACTGTTTGTTAAAGCTATTTTCTTTTTTTTTTATTGCTTTGATTGGTGGACGAGCTCAAACCCCACCTGGTGTTAAGTGGTTACTGAATAACATAGACATCTAAGACGTAAATGCGCCACCCACCTTGAGATATAAGTTCTAAGGTCTCAGAATTACAAGGGCTACCCTACTCCGTCCAGACTCACAAGAGGTCCTACCACCAGTAAATACTACTATGGCCAACCGGGTATACAAAATACAATTATAGAGCTTTAACTTAAATTTCGCATATATATTTGTTTGTTTATACACATACCTACATTTTTTCAAAATGCAAAAACATTAAGATACAATATTTTGGTTCGAGTTAAACGGAAAATGTATTTTTATTTGTGTTGGTTCGCAATTAATCGTCTTACTTGATTTATGACCGTTTTTAATTAAATCGATTGCCAATATTGAATTACTTTGATTTATTAAAAATTTTAATAGTCGTCATGATAAAACCAAACAGCTACTGTATTTTACGAATAGTTTTAAACTGTTGCAGCTAGGTACATATATTAGAATATTAATAATTAACGTGTTCGCGAGATTTCTGTTGCACGTCATTACGGATCCTCCTGATCCATTAACGGTGCTTTTAGGCACCACAAGCACCGGTCACCGTCCTCGTCGAACCCGTCGCTTGCGACGAAGGGCTCGACGAGCGAACTAACCCATAGACACAGCCCACTGAGTTTCTCGCCGGATCTTCTCACTGGGTCGCGTTTCCGATCCGGTGGTAGATTCTGCGAAGCACTGCTCTTGCTAGGGTCAGTGTTAGCAACTCTCCGGTTGAGCCCCGTGAGCTAACCTACAAACGTTAGGGCGAAGTTGAAATAGCCTCTCAAGGCTATCAGCATAGGTAGGAAAAAAAATAATAAAAAAAAGAGATTTCTGCGCTTATGTGATGACCGTAAACACAGATAAACTAAAGATTGCAGGTAAAATATATAAATAAAATGAGTAAATAAATCTATCTACCCTCGTTCTATTCTGTTTCTGGATGCTACCAATAGAACCCGATAACTGGCGCAGACAGAACCGTGTTAAGAACCATTAAAAAAAAAAGTGTTTATTTTGATTTCTGCACGTGGAAAAAGTCCTTGCGGCTTACCTACATGCCAATTTCTACCTTAAGATCTAAGGTCGAAGTCTTCGTTCAGTAGTATAGCTATTCTCGCATCTGTCATAATGGACAGTACGATTAAGTTGCTATAGAAGTAGGTAGGATGGTTGTACCTATTTGTGCGGGTTCATGAACTAGTCATTATGGAAATAAGCTTTGCAGGTATAGTTTTTTTTAGTTGGCTATACGAGGTCAGGGCTCATTTATTGATAGCCTCAACCTCAGCCCATACACATTGCAATGTGAATGCAGTTAGAGACATGAGGTTGAAATCTGAATGACATTGTATAGCGGCTTTCAAATCGTAATGCACGACTGTTTTGCGGCAGAAATAGACAGAATGGCAGAAACTATCAGTACGAACTTACCACTAGCCCTACTACTACCAGTAAATTCCAGTACGTTGGTATAATTGGAGAAAGCCACTGCCTATTATCTGGTGAATTCTAATTGCGGTAGTGTTATCCTAGGTCGATACCGTTCAGCCAAAATTAGAAAATCTGGGTTTACAGAGGGACTTCGGTTCTTTCTGCGTTTTTTTTACCGTATGTTCTATGCCATTCTATGGGAAGTATTCTGAGGAATTGTTCAAGATGATCCTTTCATTTCCTTTTTACTATCACATCTCCCGCCATCAGAGTAGATCGATTTTATTCATACTATCTGGAATCGCTGTGTCCCATCCGGCTCTAGAATAAACTCCTCTCCACGGTGTTTGCCGAGCGCAATGACATGTCCCTCTTCAAATAAAGCTTGAGGAGAGTACTTAGCGGGAGACAGCGAGTTTTCTACATCCCTAACATTGCTGATGTCCATGAGCGACGGTATCCACTTACTATCAGGTGGGCTGTACGCTTGGCCGTCTACAAAGACCATAAGAATATACATAAATCATGTTATTTTTTGTGGAAGTCGGCACACGAAATTTTCAGCGAGATTAGAATCCCCATAGTGACCCAGATACCAACATAGTGGCAACTCTCGGTACAGTAAACTTCCGATAGCCATGCTCGTATATACTGAAGGTTTTAAAAACGTAGCCATAATAAAATTATTCTGCAAACTTATTTCCAAATGCATTCCAATTTATTTCCAATTTGCATGAGATCCGTTCATGAAATTAAAATTTATTTAAATTTATTCTATTTTAAACAAGCCAAATAAACAACCATTATGTATATTTATCACTGATTTAGATAATATTTAGCGATGTGCTACGTATGATATACTTAGTGATGAGATAAAATAGTTGCTGATTGCAAATTATTACTGCTAGCTTGACAACAAGAATCGATATTTAAATGATATTAACTTCAATCAAAAATGGAACCACGTTTTTGTAGAGAAATAATTGCATATTCTGCAAATGATTAACAGTAGTATAATCGTAGGTAAACTTACGGTCTTATTGGTGAGCGTCGTATATTAGTATATTGTTATTCGATGTACCTTTTCATTATTGACAGACTTTTATTTATTTATTTTTATTGCCCTTGTAGGCAGACGAGAATACGGCCCACCTGATGATAAGTTGTTACCGTCACCCATGGACTTCAGCAATGCCTGGGGCAGGGCCAAGCCGCTGCCTACCGTTACTGCCTGCTGTTTCAGAAGCAATTGAAAAAGTCGAAAGCGGTTCAACAAAATACAGTGACACTGCATATGCTTTTAGTTCGACTATTATAATAATAAAAAAGTGTGTGTGTCCGCTCCGACGCACGACTGGAGTTTACTGGATATAAAAAAGTGTGTGTGTCCGCTCCGACGCACGACTGGAGTTTACTGGATATAAAAAATTAAACGAAACAATACGAGAAATAGTTCTATATTACGACAACACGATACACTACAGATTATTAACAAATTAACGAGACACAAAACAAACGACTAACAAATATATGAAAATACAATAATGAGAGAAACGCGCGATCAGTACGAGGCTTTGTGGCGGACTGCCGGCGCAGCAGCCCGGCGTCACCTGCGATAACGCGGCCGCGCGTTGGCTCCTGATTGGCGCGCGCACGCATCACGCAATCAGGAGCCAATCAGGCGCATAACGCATTTCGTGTGACATGCTAGTACGATTTTGATTGGCGCGCGCACGCATCACGCAATCAGGAGCCAATCAGGCGCATAACGCATTTCGTGTGACATGCTAGTACGATTTTGGTCCCCATAATTTTCATACCCCGGGCCTATATATGTAAATCGATTCTAAAGGAGTAAACTCCAATAATAATATAATAACATCTCGAGAGGCTTGGTCTCAACAAAAAGTCGGTGGTGGCCCAAATGCAAAAAGCAGTCTTGCTCGACAATGCCCGTATAGTTCGCCGGTTTCTCTCCCAATAGTCCCTAACGCTCCGGCCGATTGTTGCCCACCTCGCCGGAGTGTGTCCTGCCGTCTTCCCAGGCGTGGCAGTGTTTAATACACATAATAATAGTAGAAGATTTTAATGATGGTAAGGCGTCTTGTGAGCCTACAGGGTTAGGTACCAACACTGCTTATGTCTATCGCGGAGCAGTAATTCGTTTTGGGTTTGAAGGGCGGGGCAGCCGTTGTACTTATCAAATTGAGACTTACAATTCACGTCTCAAAGTGAATGGTAGCATTTGTGTTGTTGGTGTTGTTGCTCCGTTATTCTATTAGAAACAAAAAAAAAATTCTATTTACATTTTTCATGTAATTAAATTACGATATTCAGATGAAGAACACATAGTAACATCCGTTAATCAATTTTCTTTGTTTCAGGATTCATTCGGGACTTCACCGGTAGTTATGTGGTTGCTTTCGTGATGTTGGCTGCGTGTAATCTATGCTGCGTTGTTCCGTGGGCGATAGAGTTCATTTTTCGTTACAACAAAGAAAGGAAACTCAGAAATACGGACGTGAGCTGAAAACATAAAGCATCAAAGGAGACATTGAATCGAGTTACCGTCGCAATACGGTAAACTCCCACCGTGATACAATTAGTTCGATAAGTTATAAATAATATTTTTATTCTATAAATATTTGTTGTTTTATTCGATATTCACTTCCCGCTCTTAGCTTCTCAACGGTGACTAAATTTTATATAGAATTGGCAGTCACGAGGTCAGTATCGGGATGAGAGGTAGTCTATATTTTTTCCCAGGGCTTACACCGTTTCCACAATCTCATCTTTCGCTTCTACTGTTTCAATATATTTATATTTTTCTTAAATAAGTTTAGCAGAATGTAAAATAGCACTGAGAGATGATAAAGCATCGTAAGAAACATCAAATTTGCTCCTTCAAATGCTACATAACGATCACGATTCCGATTGCCGAGAGTTAAACGTGATTAAGAAAGAGAAAAAGGGAAACGATTTTCATCATCCTTTTGAATATTTTTAAACCTTCAGTATTAATGGTCTGGTTGTTACAACGCCTGGACTTCTCGATTTTATGAGACTATAATATCACGATTTGAATTTCGATGAAAGTACTATTTTTTCATTAACACTAAGTAGGTATATGCCTAATACGTGTCAACAAACTACTTTCATGACGAACGAATTAAAGTCGTAATCTATACCGAGACTCAAAGAATGAGACGTATCGAGCGATGCGAATGTGCCGGCGTTTATATAGCATAGGCTGGTGCTAATTTTTCTAATTAAATATGTACGTAATTAAAAAAATATCAGGAATGACTTCTACGATGACGGAATAACATCAACTTATAGAAATTAATATGAGGCATAGACTTCAAGTAGATCAAGGTGGTACCATGAGAACGGCCATCGATCTCCAACAGTGTTTCCCAAACTTTTCTCATCCCCAATAAAACTTTTAATTTGAAACATCTCATTTCTCTTAAGGTCTATCTTAGGTTGGTTATATTAAGTATATTGTTGGTTATAAATTTCATTTAAAGCTAGTACACAGTGTAGATAGATATAATACATTATAATAATGTTTATATAAGTTAATTGTTTTGATTTCTCAGTATTTCCGTCTTTACAATGCATATTATTTGTATGCACACCGCGGATTGAGAATCGCTGACCTACGCAATAAATAAAAAATAGCATTGAGTAATCAATCAAACTCAAATCAAATTTACTTTACAAAGTAAATAACCAGACAAGCACGAGTAAAACTGGCGTCTTGAAGTTTCCGGGTGCAAGCTAATGCTCTTCGTACCAAGGCTACGAAGCCTTCCAATACTACTGTTTGTTTTGGTGCTATTTGTGTGTCTCACAGTTAAATTATGGATATTTACTGAAAACGCATTTACTCTTTGAAAGAAAATTAAAGAAGTCATTTACGGCAATCTAGTCGGAAATCCCATGTTTTTGTACTTTCTCAAAAGTGAACCGGTTAAAAATTAATCCAGGATTCTTACTTACACTTAAATGTAAAAAACACTTAACGAAATTACACCTCATCGCAGTCTGTACTCTCTATACATGCGACAAACAGTATTATTTCGTTAATTGTAACTCAAAGTATGCTGTCGATGTTCCTCATTTCAACGTTTAGTTTTTTAATGAACTCTACTGTGTAGTGACGTCAGAAATCAAAGAAGCATGGAATTATTCCTGTGGGAATTTAAAAATAAAAATAAAATCACCCTTCAACATGAAAATCATAGGATATACAAAAATTCAAGTTGTTTTATAATTACCAAACAACCAAATATTCATTTGTTTAATAAAATAAGCAAAATATTATTTATTTAATATATCATTTCAAAGTGAATATAATCAATAGGGTATGCTGTATGATCATAATATGATCTATGCCATAGCTCATACTAAACAATTTATATCATATTAATGCACCGACACAGACAAGAAACGTTTTCGTTACATGAATGTTTCTCCGAAGTCACAATTTTACCCATGATCCTCATCTTATGAACGAGAGGCGCTAACTATTGCGTCACCGGGTCTTTTGGAGCTTCCAGTAGAATAGAGTGCGGAATTGAATTTGCATAGTTAGCACACTGTACCGCATATTGATGTTGTAAAGAAATATCTTGCTCCAATTTAAACAGCGTATTTAAATCAATACGCATAGACATCTACAACGCAAATGCCGCCACCTACCTTGAGATATGAATTATAAGGTCTCAGTATAGCTACAACGCTGCCTCACCCTTCAAAACCGAAACGCATTACTGCTTCACGGAAGAAATAGGCAGGGTGGTGGTACCTACCCGTGCGGACTCACAAGACGTCCTGCCACCAGTTTGGCCAAAATTTTGGCGATTGGCGATCATGCACCAGAAACTAATGCATGGATTGATCTCCGACAGGGTTGTCCAACAATGTGTTGAATGTCGCGGGATTCCACTGGATGCGAATAGCGCAAGACTGGTCATTGTAGCGAGCCTTAGGGAAGGCCTGTGTCAAGTTGTGGACGATTGTAGGCTGATGATGATGAGCCTTCAACTTTTGCATCGAAAATGCACGTATCATCTTATGCTTTTGCACATTTGATTTCATGACTTTTTCTTACCAATTAATCTACGGTTATTATACTATTTTGTTTTGTTTTTTTGAGTAATCGTTGTCGAATACCCGCTATGCTAGAAATAGGTATCAGTGAGTGTTGGTATGATTAGTGTTAAGTAGAAACTGGTGGTAAAATGTAATGTATCGTGATTCACGTGTCGCATAGGCACGTGTCACAGTTCCGCTTCTTATCTCTGAAGAGCTACAAGCGTTCCGATTAATAAAAAACACAGCAGAGATCCATAAACTGTGAATGTACCAATATTTTAGTATAACATATCAGAGACACGTGAACTCCGACATTTGTCTCCGTAACTATAATCGATGGGGCAAACGTTTGTCTGTAGAGCGCCTTGGCTTACCAAGGGTACAGCCACAAGCCCTTGTTAGATAAATTGACCTTTGGTTCGTGGCTTGAACTAAACTCAAAACACTCTTGTTCATTGTTTTAAATAAGAAACTTTAATAACATAGTTTTGATAATTTGTTTATCACAGGAGGTTACTGTATTTTGGATGTTACTGGATTCATTTCTATTAATACACATTTAGCAGAGTGCACATAACTTTATTCTTGAATTGACAGAGTGCACACAGATTATACCGGAAACGGAATACGATGCAAACAAAAACATAGATTACTATTAGACATTGCTTAGTAGATATTTAACACATAGTTTTACCTTTTGTCGAGTTTCAAGGGAACAAGGTAAATAGCGAAGTGATCATAAAAAAAAATGTTTGGTAGAAATCATCTTTGTTAATTACTGTGGCAGGTAGCCATCATACAATGCAAGATAATTGACAGATGCCTGAATCTCGCTTACGACATTTTCAAGATAAAGCGCATATATACAAGTTCCGAACAACAACATTTGGACCGTCGGTCTACCGAGCAAATATCACCCGCTCGGTGGAAGATCTTTCCTTTCGTCGTATATTCCCCAAATTACCATCTTTAATAGTCAGCAAAAAATACTGGATCTACATATTGACACACATTAAAATCAAGTTGATATTTAAATTATAAAAAAATAATAGCATTAATGATAACATTAATACCTTGTGTTTGGAATATATTTTAATGATTATTCATATCTAAATTTATTATTCTCTCGAGCAAATCTCGATTTAATTGTTTGAAGTATTTCTTATTCTAATTTTCGCTCCCGCTTCGGCGTATTTCACTCGGATTGGGTTTTGAAGAATCATTTTAAAATAAATTAATATCAAGGGCAAGACGGTCGCGTATTTGACCAATTAATATTCTTCTCGTGTGGATTTTTATTGCCTTGGATTGTCCTCCATTTTGTAGGTTCTTCTGACAGACATTACAAGCTAGTACACGTTAGCTACTGAATAGATAGTACATAAAAGCTTGATATCATAGTTTATTGATGATTTTTTTTTATTGCCTTTGTAGGCAGACGAGCATATGGCCCATCTGATGGTGAGTGGTTACCGTCGCCCATGGACTTCAGCAATGCCAGGGGCAGAGCAAAGCCGCTGCCTACCGAAATTAGTTTCTATTGTGAGCTTGCACGTGTAGGTGCGTCTCATTTGCCTATACCGTCGATCCAGTTTGGCCGCTGGAACGTTTGTTACAATCCAAACCTTCTTTTTGGGACTAGCGACATTGTCTATAAGCTCAGAGAACCGCCTATATCTGGATTGTGAGGTTCTCTGGCCATCACTGGTGGTAGGATCTCTTGTGAGTCCGCGCGGGTAGGTACCACCGCCCTACCTATTTCTGCCGTGAAGCAGTAATGCGTTTCGGTTTGAGGGGTAGGGCAGCCGTTGTAACTATACTGAGATCTTAGAACTTATATCTCAAGGTGGGTGGCGCATTGACGTTATAGATGTCTATGGGCTCCAGTAACCACTTAACACCAGGTGGGCTGTGAGCTCGTCCACCCATCAAAGCAATAAAAAAAAAGAATCCTTACCAAAATAAAACTTATTTAACGAATCTCATTCTTTCGATACTACGAGTAACTGTTTCACTGGGAAAATGATTACGGTGTATCTTAGCGCGAGATTATCTTTAACTTAGTTCTAAAGGGATAAAAATAGCTTTAAGAGCGTCATCCTCCTCAACAGCTCGTCCGATTGACCTACATAAATTGCAACATGAAGTCTAGATTATAAAAAAGAGACATGTAATATTGTAACAGAACATTTAATTAAAAATAATAATTGAAGGTTGCACAATTGGAATAGTCGTGCTTTTCCCATGGCCAGATAGATATATTTAGTACGTATGCGTGTGTCATTATTTACTCCGAATTTGTATGCAATAACGTCAAATGGAAGGACTTGCCACGTAGTACCTATATGGCCTCCAAATTAATGGATGTTTTGTGAATGAATTTATTGACATAATCTGTATTCGCTTGAACGAAGCCGTGGGTAAAACTAGTAGTACATAGTCTATGTTCGATCTGCTATTGAAGTTGCCAGAGAAAAGGCGGAAATTAAACATAGAAGTCTTTTGAAAATGAGTTATATACATTTTTTTATCTAACTCATGCTATCAATGATATTTAGATAGTGTTTTTTTGCAGGAATGTTCCAGTTTTAATTTTAATAGCAATACGTAAGATAGCTAGATTAATTTGATTTTTTGTTTAATGTTTGTAGGCTTGAAATTTTGCAACGTAGCGCTACCAAATTACATACAATAGGTGGCGCAGGTCACAATTCTACAATAATAATTAATTAGTTGTCTTTCATATATTTAGCGATGGTCACATTTAGCGGGTTTAACTGGTTGAAAAACTATCAGTTAATCATGTCTTATATGTTTGTAAAATTTTGTCATTATGTAGATTTAATAGTGTTTTTTTGTGTTAAATATAACGTGTTCAATAAATCTTTGGTTCAGTTTATTTATTATAATATGGTTGTTATTTTTAATGGTTACAGCGTAGTAAAATAACTTAAGTAGACTACCTTGTGGTTAAAAGTCGTTCGACAGAAGCTATAAAGACAAGGCTTTAGACTAATTAAACTTTTAAACCACTGAATTTAAATAATCAATTCAAATTAGTTAAAACCGAATACCCGGTCTTACAAAATAATGGATCATGTGAAGTTAACTCTGTTTTGATTTTACTGACATAGGGACAGACTCATGGTTCGTCTGATGTTAAGCGGAGACATGCTGTTAAAAAATTTAAACATCAATGTGTAAGTAAATTAGTATCTTATCATGAGCACATATACACATTCTGTATCTTATCTTCAATAGAATTTTTAAATAGCTATATCTCATTTTACATTGCCGAATAAAAAGACTCTGTAAATAATAGATGTGCACATAAAATATTTTATTTCTAAATACATTTTCGAGTGTGTTTTATTAATTCATCGCATACATATATAAACTGTTTACAATTCCCGCACATTCAAACGTAAGAGAACAAAGAAAACAGACTATATAAATACACGTGACACTAATGCAATTGTATGTACATGTGTACGTTGATATGTAGGTCTCCCTATCGTATACGTCCGTAGTTAACTCAGTACAAATATAGCCAGCTATCCGTTTGCCGAATCCCGCGACAGTGACGCACTTTACAAATGGATAATGGAACAAAAGAGGAAAAGAATCGTATTTGGGATTACGCTGTTTGTTTCGGGACAGTTATCACATTCGTAAGTTAAACATTGTTTTAAAAGCAGTGGGTGTTCAGTGTTTTATGAACTTTATCTTGGGTTTCCCGAATTAAACAGTTTTACGGCTAAATCTGACACGTTCGGTGTATTAATTTAATAATATCCTATGATTTGAACGTTTTGTACCTAACTTACTTTTCTAGAATTCGCGATCAAATGCACTGTTAGTTTCGGTATTTTATTTTTTATTTTTTTGTATACGTGTACGTAGGAATTTTTTTTTGGTAATCCACACTCCAGTTTAGAGCTTCTGTTGTAATCAATAGCTCGCAAATTTGTGGGTACACCTACCTGTGTGTTGTAAACAAATGCGGAGAATAAATAGCCCGTAAGATAAAAAAAAAGTTTTTTTTGTTTCAATCATATTTTCAGTTTCTATGTTAAAATAAACTATTGTTTTTTTTTTTTATTGCCTTTCTAGGCAGACGAGCGTACGGCCCACCTGATGGTGAGTGGTTACCGTCGCCCATGGACTTCAGCAATGCCAAGGGCAGAGCCAAAACGCTGCCTAACGTCAAGCCGCTGCCTACCGATGCTTCCTTTAAATTCACAGAAACACAGGCGAGAGATAAATTTAGCGGAGGTATGTTCGCCCACGGCGAATAGGTTAGTTTAACAACATTAACATTGTTTTAACATTTGAATATTTTGATCGAAGATAAGATTTTGATTTAGATTAACAAAGCACAAACTAAATTTGAATACATTTTACGGATCGCTCGTAAATCTATATATTTGTATATGTTTTTAAATAATCACATTCATTTCATAGTATACGTATGTAAGTGTACCTTTCTGAGGATTAACGGAAAACAAAGTTCGTTTCCTAAACTCAGCCTGTCCTTTATTATATATCGACGCTTGAAAGGCAAACGTGACTAAGCGACAGTAACTGCTTTATACATAAATGATAGGTAATAACCATATTCGATGAGCAAAAAAAAAAATTTTTCTAGGTCTGTTAAAATCATTTAAATCCTACAGCTAGATTCGTTAAAATAGAATTTTTTTCAGGTATTTCTACTATAAATTAGTCTACTGTAAAGTTCACGCATTGTCGCTTAGTCACGTTTGCCGTTCAAGCGTCGATATGAATGCCTTGAACGTATATTGTGGATATAGTCCGCGTTCCCATAATAGCGTTACCATAAGACCATAAATTTCGGTATTCAACTGATTTTTATTTGTGCTCCAGTTAGGTGCAACGCGAAACATTAAATATGATAATCCAATCTAAGTTTTTGATGTTTTCGTGTTTAGAATCAGGAGCAGCCCCCTTCTTCAGCCGTGATGACGGTTCCACTAAAACCTGGATTTATATATACATATATTTATTTTATTACTGGTGGTAGGACCTCTTGAGAGTCCGCGCGGGTAGGTACCACCACCCTGCCTATTTCTGCCGTGAAGCAGTAATGCGTTTCGGTTTGAAGGGTGGGGCAGCCGTTGTAACTATACCTGAGACCTAAGAACTTATATCTCAAGGTGGGTGGCGCATTTACGTTGTGGATGTCTATGGGATCCAGTAACCACTTAACACCGGGTGGGCTGTGAGCTCGTCCACCCAACTAAGCAATAAAATATATATAATTAATATAGAGGGGTGAAAGGCTGTTTGGTTTAAGCGACATTTCGCTTAAAACGCGATATATATATATATATATTTTTTTAATTTTTAATTGTACTTCAATTAAGTTTACTCCATTGAAAGAGTTGTTTGTTAAAGTTTTCTTCTTATGATATTTTTAAACAAATTTTAAACTTTAAATCGCGCTCCTGTAAGCCCCTCGATATGTAGGTACTTAATGTTCATAAAAACAAACTCTGTTTACAATATGCCTGATTAATTTCAATATTCATGTTTTCGCAAATCAAAACAAGGTTAATGTTGTTAGTATGTTAATCCTATTTTGTATTTTGCTAAAAATTTTCCATTCAACACAACAAGACTCTAACTCCGCGAAGCCGCGCGAAGGTAGATTAGTCGACTTTCTATTAAGAGACATTCTTGTGTTGAAATTCATGAATAAAACATGAATATTTTACGATTTACAATTAAAAAGTCAAACTATAAGTATTATTTTACAGATAGCCGGCATTGGTCACGTAAATTCATTTGGATTGATTTACAGAGATTTTATGATCCACACTCAATCCACTACTAAGTCGTTAACAACTGCCAATGGCGTATTTGCCATAATGCTAGCAATCGGAGGTATTTATAACTTATTCAGAACTACAATATGTTGAAACCTGAAAAACGCTGTTCGCCTATTTGTGTTTATATTAATGTACTAGCTGAGTTCCACGATGTTACGATGCGAAAATAACCGTGGGTGAAGCCGCGAGGCGAAGCTAGTCTAAATAAAGTAGCTTAAGTTACTCCTTATCCTTATATCATCAGCTACCTATAAATGAAAGTTCTTTCAAAATCGGTCCAGCCGTTCCAGACATTAGCCGGAACAAACAGACAGACAGACAAAATTTAAAAAATGCTGTTTTGGTATATGTACTGTGTATATATATATACTTATGCATTTAGTAAAAAGTGGTTATTTTACTCTTTTTTTTACGGTTTTTTATGGTTACTCTTTTTTTAATTTATCTTTAGGCAAGAGAACATTAACTATTGTATTATTATTTCAGGTATTATTCTCAATATTATGACCAAAAAATTAACGCTAAGACAGTGCGGTCTGATCGGTTCATGTATATTTTCGACCGGATCGTTTCTAACAATACTGATCTCGAATACTAATCATCTACCGTTCACGTTTGGCGTGCTGCAAGGTATCGGCTTTGGGATCCTGGTCCCGGTGTGTTATTCAACATTGAATTTACTTTTCACGACAAAAAGAACAACAGTTATGAGCATAATAAAATCATTACAAGGAATAATATTAATGTGGTATCCGCAAGTTATTAAACAGACGTTATCTGTTTACGGCTTCAGGGGGACACTGCTAATCATTTTTGGAATTTCATTGCATACTTTTCCCGGAATGTTGTTAATGAAGACAGAAAATAAGGATACTGGAAAGAGACTGAGAACAGCAAGTATTTTTTGTTTCCTATATATCTTATTAAAATTTTACAAAATGGTTCTTAACGAGTTTTGTATGATTTTTTTAAACAGAAAATATAGAGATCGAAACAGACAAACAAATAAAATTAGAGTTATTAAATAACGATGAACAGAAACAACAAATTCTAAGCGATACTGGAACTGAATACAAGACGTCGAAGAAAAATAGGTGCCAATATTTGTATTATCAAAGAAAATTTATGAGAATCACAAATCTTACGTACGCGATAATGAAATAAGATAAACGTTATGATAAAATAACATCTTTTCTAATGTTTCAACATCTTTCAAAAGGATCTAGGTTATAAAATAATGATATCTGAAAAGTTAAAATATGTATTCTTATGACGAAATTAAATTTATAATGACCTAGCGACCCGCTCTCGCTTCGCTTCGGAAATTGTAATTTATTATTGATTTCTCCACTATTTAATGGATGTTATTATACTCTATCTATTAAAATAAACCGCATCAAAATCCGTTGCGTAGTTTTAAAGATTTAAGCATACATAGGGACAGACAGATATAGGGACAGAGAAAGCGACTTTGTTTTATACTATGTAGTGATATGTCTTAATGTTACAGGTTTCACTTCTTAGAAGTACTGAATCTGAGATGCCTTAAAGATCCGGTCTATTGCAATATTTGTGTCGGTCAGAGTTTTATGAATTTCTCCGATTTGACTTTCTTCATTTTACAGCCGATGCTTTTGTTTCAATACGGATACGACAAGGTTTGGAAATTATCTTATTGTTAGCTTGTTTTGCTGAACGAACTAGCAGTAAAACGCGATCTGTACCCATGTCATTAACATCGTTAATCTCAAAAATTTAGTACACGTAAACTCCCCTCACAAGTGGATTTATTGGATATCTTAATTTGTAGTATATTTGTTATACAGTAGAAAAATACCATAAGTTTGTTTTGCGACCGATTGAACTCAAATTGACAAACTATGTGGGGCGACAGATAACCGTTGACTTTTTTTTAATAAGATGGAGAAATTTTTGTTTTACAAATAAAGAAAGATAAAAATCTACAAATCCGTCGAATAACATTTAAAGTCGCTAGCTTGAGTTTTATTTTCACAGGCGCAAGTCGCTACTTGTATTACAATTGGGACAGGAGCTGACGTGGCGGGCCGACTCGCCCTGGCCATGATTAGTGGTGCGACACATATTAACACCAGATTATTGTACTACGTTGCTACGCTGCTCACGTTGATCGTAAGATTAGGTACGTATTCTAAATTATTCAATCTTTTTTCGGTTCCACATATCTCTGCAAAAAACTAGTTCTATTATAATATATTTTATAGCTTTAAACTGAAGGATCCGTTTTAGTTTCCTTTTTATACGTTAATTATTCACATAAAAATAAAGGTTATTAGTCATGCGATATAACTGCTATCTAACCAATAAAACTATCTACTTTTGAAGTGTAATATCGCGGTTATTATAATATTTTCATTATCAAATACATGATAATAGTAGTTTGAAAGTAAACAACACACTTAAATAGCAAAATGGACCAATAAGTAAAATTATGAAAATGTGTGTGTGTGTGCTGTGTGTGCTGTGTGTGTATTCGATGGTCTTTAAATATATTATCTCTTACAAATTCACATCGATCTATTGTTCGAGTGTGAGGAACATTATGTACATACTAACAAACAAACCTTCGCATGGCCTTGTTGAATTTGAATTTAAAATTAAATATTTCATAATTAGTTGGAATAAATATCGACATATACACGATTATTTATTCGGAAAAGATATTGCCGTCCGCAAAATTTATTGAGCGCTATTTTCAAAAGTTGCCATTTTGAATAATGGCAATCCTTAAACTAGTATGTAAATTTATGTAATTTTGGTCGGTGGGTTTTTGCTTGACTGTAGTAAGCCATTCAAAGGTTTGAAGTCCTCGTGGTCTAAATAAGTCTCACATCAAGCAACACAACTATGGCCTTGTTAGATTCCACAGGTATCATGCCTATTTCTGACGCTACGCCGACAAATAAATAAATAAATATTTACTAACAATCACGCCACGTTAACTGGTTCCGTGATAAGTTCGTAAAGAACTTGTGTTACTGGTACCAGATAACGGAAATAAATGTAAGATTTTTATTATACACATACATATATTTAATATACATCCATAACCGTGGAAAAGACATTTATATTTATCATACAAATATCTTCTCTTGGCGGGATTCGAACCCGCGACCCCCTTGTGTAGTGACCATGTCACTTACCACTACACCAGACGGCCGTTTTGATGAATGATTCGATTTCAATATATAGATTCAATGAACTGTATGCACGTATGTATTATAATATGTACGTTTTCAGACGAGTTTCCATTACGCGATTAATATATCTATTGATGTTTTTTAGGTTGTGATATTATACATCCATGTTTATTCTAATTTTCTTGGCTAATATAGATAGATGTTTTTGTTTATTGTGTTTAACTCTATATAGGGTTTTTGAACAGTTTTTTTTCCTACCTATGCTGATAGCCTTGAGAGGCTACTTCAGCTTTGCCCTAACGTGCAGGTGAGCTCACGGGGCTCAAACCGGAGTGTTGCTAACACTGGCCCTAGCAAGAGCAGTGTTTGGCAGAATCTACCACCGGATCGGAAACGCGACCTACTGAGAAGATCCGGCGAGAAACTCAGTGGGCTGAGTCTGTGGGTTAATTCGCTCGTCGAGCCCTTCGTCGCAAGCGACGGGTTCGACGAGGACGGTGACCAGTGCTTGTGGTACCTAAAAACACCGTTAATGGATCGGGAGGATCCGTAATGACGTGTTTTGGGCGACGTCGACTATTAACCATTCGGTCTACAGGATCGGTTATGTAATTTCCAGCGGCCATGATAAGAGGGTTCTGAGAATTTATTGTTTTTAACCAACTTCAAATACAAAAGTAGAATTTTCTTCGGTTTTCGAAGCGAATCGTAGTTTTAAGCTAAGAACTGCTACTGGTCGTCGTTCGTGATCGTGAAAGCTGTAAAGTTTAATATAATTGAATATCATGAGAAAAAAATATATATTTCAGTTTTACTTCAAATCCATGAATTCATCTGGGTAGCAGCCATTACAGCTGTGCTGGGTATACTCCGAGCATGGATCCACATAGCCAGTCCTCTGGTAATTTCTAATCACGTCACCCACGAAGACTTTGCTGGGGCATACGCTCTGTTCATGCTTGCTGCGGGCGTGGTCAATTTAACGTGTTCACCTTTTATAGGTAAATATGGAGAAACAGTTAAAAAAAAATTATTATGACATGTAGTTATTGCATTCTAAGCATAACTAATATTTATAAAGCTTATTTATCGATGAAACTTATTCTTTAAATCGATACGTATTTAAAATAATGTGTATTTTTAAATTATTAATATTATGCTTATTAATGCTACGAAAATTATGTTAACAGTGGCTATGGTCAGGTTAATAACTAGCATATAAATGAGCTTTATTAAAAATTAAATATTTAATTTTTTGCTATAATAATGTATACTTATATTGACAAATTGAGACCTAAATAAGTAATTTGTTTTGATTAGTGGGGTAGAAGCATTTCGAATAAGAATTCACGAATTCCCGGAAAATTCCAGAAGCAGTTCAGAGTTTGATTATATACTCTTTGCTGCTGTATAGAAGAATTGGACAATTTGAGTACTGGAAAACGCGAATTGTAAATCAGATTTAATTTGTACGTAAATTTTTCGGTAGCATAACACCCGTTTCATCTTCAATAATAAAATCACAGAGATCTTAAGCTGCGCTTTTATCTGCTGGTTTCGATTATATATAATATGTCGGATATTTGAAGCCATCATATTTTGCTACTTGACAACTAACTGTGTCTGCCAACGCTTTGTGTCATATCACATGACGCCTGACCACAATTCAATTCGCAATTAAAACATTCAGCGTCCTAGATTTGAGAAACCAGCAAATGCGTGTGAAATTATTGATAAATTCAACACGTACCTACCTAATCTAATTTATCATAGACAGTAATTGCAAAATACAAGTTTTTAGTAATACTTGATTATATTTAGATGCCAAATGGGTAGAGTCATTAATTACAGTATTTATTTCAAATAAAATGATATTTATGATTCGTAAATAAAATTAATTTCAATAAATAAGAATCTAAAATGTATTAATTTTAACATTATGTTTCTTTCGATCAACAGCAATTTTGTATATTTTTAAATCGTTCGATGTAAAACGCTAATTAGTTTCGAATGTTTTTTCAATATTATTTTGATTGGATTGATTAGATGCTGAACATTCATTAAGCATTCATACCTGCAAAAAATTTCTTACAACTGATTTAATTTCTAAATCAAGATACCGAAAAAAAAAAAAACCAGTTAGTTGTCTTCATTTTACTATGTACAGAAGAATTGAGAATAAGAAAGAATACAGAATATTATGATTATCGATAATCTTGACCTCAGATCCAGCGTCAAACAATTTGGTTCCCTCCTTATTTTTTACCCATATATTCCATTTTTATGGCTTAGACGGGTAGACGGCCTGGTGTTAAATGATTACCGATTTACCGCAACCCATAGACATCAACAATGTAAATTTCGCCACGCATCTTGAGACATTAGTTCTGAGTCTCAGTTCCATAGCATAGAGGCTGCCCTATCCTTTAAGTCGGAACGCGATACCGCTTCGCGGCAGTAACAGTCTGGGTGGCTGACTAGATGCTCTACCACCAGATAATGTGAAGAATTAATTCGCGAAGAAATTATTTGAGATGAGCCCGCCGCATTTCTGTTTTAACAGTGCACTATACGCCACTGGAGCAGCTCTCTTACTACTGCCCGTAATTTATCCAGATACAATCACATCAAGTTTGCATTCGAAGGCAACAAAAAATCTTCGTAATTTTGAATACCCGCAAAATTATAATTTCCGTAATTACTGGTGGTAGGACCTCTTGTGAGTCCACACAGGTGGACCTTAGAACTCATATCTCAAGGTGGGTGGCGGCATTTACGTTGTAGATGTATATGGGCTCCAGAAACTACTTAACACCAGATGGACTGTGAGCTCGTCCACCAATCTAAGCAATAAAAAAAAAGGAATTGAAATTCAGGAGCAATTTTTGAGATGCTCTGACGAAGATGGGTAATAGGTATTACAAAACTCAGATTTTATTCCCTAATGTCCAACCAGTTCAATAAAGTGCGCTATCATGGCCTCTCAACGATACCCCTTAATGTGTAGCAACCTTATCGTGGCCGTTCATTCAAATTTAACTCACATGCTAACCCGTACTTGTGCCCGAGCGTTAATATGCGTGACTCTGATATAAGAAATCGTCGGTTTTATAATGGGAGTGTACCGTTAACTTTGTATTTATGAGGCTAGATGGGTAGCTAAGAAGACGCCTGCTCTAGTGAAGTCATTTTCCGAGGACTATTACTGGTACTACGCTACCACCGCTATTCTATTTATTTAATTATTACGTGATACAGATGACTATTAGCTTCGGTTCTAACTAGTCCGGAAGTTTCTACCCAGTATCATTCAATAGGGCTTTCTCGTTAGTGTAAATTCAAATCTGTAGTAGATCATTTAAAATATCTGACTTGTTTTATTTACTTCAAAAATTCACATGATTCTCAGTTTTATCTAAAGATCAAATAAATCAGGGTCTTTTTTATAGTCATCAAGCAACTTAATAAATGGCATAATATTTTTAATTTAAGATAAATTTTCCTGTCAAACCTCACATATTTGCAGTCTGGAGTTGCATAATAATAATACTCATATGAATATCTTCATAGATAATGTGAGATTTTGCATATTATTCAGATTAATAATAATAGATAAATATTTTACAGCATATTTAAGTCTATTGTTGGGAACTAGTCACACCTTAAATATTGATAATGTTCAAAAGAAAATAAATTATCAAACTGACATCCGGTCCAGAACTCACACTTGCAGTAGTGCTACCGTCTATTCTTTAGACTTTTAATTTACGCACGGCAATAATAATAACAGGCCGATTAACTTAGAGCTCCAAAAAAGCACATTTTAAACTATTTTGTATAATTAATTTTTACCATGCGTAAGATATAGGTGAGTTGTCTAGACCTGCTTTATCTGCCAATGTAACGAATACTCTATAGACATACTCTCATTTTGAACTTACTTAGCGCGTTTATTACTCAAATTTCACTGTATTCCACATAATTGAATAATTGATATGGAATTAATACGTATTTATGATTACAGGCATGATTAAGGATTCGTATGAAGACTATGTACCTGCATTCTACGCGTTGTCGGCTAGCTGTTTGCCTTGTTTGATAATGTGGCCTATCGAATTAGTGGCAAGACGAAAATGAATCATTCAATTAAGTATTGTTAAGTTTAAAAATGTATATTACTTAATATATTTGATTAAAGCGCATATGCGCGTGGTATTATCAATGTAGAGTAAACGAATGAGGTGATAGAATCGTTGAAGGTGGAAACTGAAGAAGAAGGAACTTGGAACAATTCTTCATCTAACACTGAAGGACTTTTTTATCATACATTTATTGTTGTTTTAAATCTTACTAAAAAGGTTCTTAAAAAAGTAAGAGGTAGAAAGCGGTAAAGGTAAATAAGGCGTCGCCTCTAATATAAATATATTTATAATTGTTGAATTATAAAGGCATGAAACGAATTCTGCACTTTAAAAATAAAAGATAAAACCGAAAGTGAATTTTTATTTATTTATTTATTTATGTACACACAAAATAGGAAAATTATGTACAAAGGCACTGCTTATTTCTTTAAGAAATCTCTTCCAGCAGACCTCCGAGAGGATTATGAGAATAATAATTAAAAGTGATGAGTGTGTGTAGAACAAATAACACATAACTAAAATAACAACTACAGCATGAGAATTATAGTAATGCACATACACATAGTAAATATTGTTAAACTTGAATACAACATATTATAAGTAACACAGTATATACGAAGAGTATAGAACAATGATCATTCGGTTGATGTGAGATAGAATTGTTTGACCTTGTATTTAAAAACAGAAACAGACTTGCAAACTCGGATGTCAGCGGGCAACGAAATCCACAGTCTGACCGCGTGCACAGTAAAGGAGTGAGAATAGAAATTGGTTTTGTGGGAAGGGAATAACAAGACAGAACGTTGGTTGGATCTGCAGGGAGCATCAGGAGAACGAATGAAAGAGAATCGCTCACGTAAATATAAGGGAGAAGTGGGCTTATGTAGGATATTGAATAGGAGACATAATATTCGAGTATTCCTACGAAGGCGTATAGGGAGCCATTTAAGTTCTTTGCGAAAATGAAAAACATGATCGAATTTTCTGAGATTGTATATAAAACGGATACATAGATTTTGCATCCTCTCAAGCTTATTTGAGAGCTTCTCAATGAATGTGTTGTTTTCTAAAGTATTTCGTTAGTTAGAAACTTTTAACGCTATAACGGTACCTAAACTCTTAGAACCCTACTTTATCAACGTGCTTAGGGGCTACACGTAAAAAATATTGGTCGCTTTTTCAGCGTTACAGAGATATTACTCGGCGCGTTGAAGGGCCGTCATTATGGACCGCTCGCCCGGAGCGGGGTGCTTAAGGAGAAGGAAACACGCTAAATTGCTTTTAGTCTTACACACTACAAGATTACGTTTTTAGTGAATAAGTAATATAGGTCTGTTCTAAATAATTATGAACCTTAAATGTGTGATGGGAAGGTAAGTGGGAGTTGTACGCTAGCGTAAAATCGTCGATCCCTACCGAGACAAAAGTCTGCATGGCCAATGGGGTAATGGAGGTATTATTCTACGCATTCCATTGCACCCACTATCTGATTGCTCTTTTGCAAGAGCCGAGCAGAACGCTAATGTGTCTTTTTGCACGCCGTTGTTAGTCCCCAAACGGATACAAGGGTAGAAGTTCGAATCACTTGAGATGCCTTTTCCTTTTAACACGAATGTTATTGCCACCTTAAGACATGAAGACGGAATATCAGTCATTGAACTCAAAAAAAAAAACAGGGTTATCATTTCCAGTGTATTTTTTGTTTGCTTTATCTTAGAACTTTTTTCTAGGTGAACCGGTCTTGTTTCGATCTTTTTTTTTTCATATTGGCACATTTTGTTTGTCAGCAAAATTTTGTGTTATGTATTGCGATCGTTCTAATCTTCACAATAGAACGCATAGCTTTCTTTTTTTTTATTGCCCTTGTAGGCAGACGAGCATACGGCCCACCTGATGGTGAGTGGTCGCCCATGGACTTCAGCAATGCCAGGGTCAGAGCCAAGCCGCTGCCTACCGTTGCATTCACAGAACGGTTGATACCTAACTGTGCGTACTCATAATTCGCCCTACCATTCGTGTTCATGCAAATTTAACAACTTTAGCTTAAAACAGGTCGGAACTTCAGAGTGTATGCACAGAAATACCCAGTTTTATCAAAGTTGATATTGAATATTACCAAGACGAGAAAAATAGCTCTGGATACTGAGTAAAATTTACGAAATTTAAATTTAAAAAAGTTTAAACACTATCTCGTGTTCGCCAATAAAATCAAACGCTACTATGTGTAACACGAAGAAAAGATAGAACCCTAAGTGTCTTTACCAAGTTTACAATGTAGGGTTATAGCCTGTTTAAAATAACTAGTTCGCGTTGGGCATACACAGTTAAACGCTAAGTCAAGAAATAAGATGTTATGGTATGAATTTGGCAAGTGTAAATTCTAGGTTTTAATTTCATTACAATAACAGAGTTTTGTACTTTTTAATCGTGACGCAGTATGATAGCAAATATAGGCATAGTGGTGGTAGCACTTCATGCTAACAGTATAATAAACTTTACTGAAGATAAGGGGAGAGTTACCTACAGCAATNCAGTTAAACGCTAAGTCAAGAAATAAGATGTTATGGTATGAATTTGGCAAGTGTAAATTCTAGGTTTTAATTTCATTACAATAACAGAGTTTTGTACTTTTTAATCGTGACGCAGTATGATAGCAAATATAGGCATAGTGGTGGTAGCACTTCATGCTAACAGTATAATAAACTTTACTGAAGATAAGGGGAGAGTTACTTACAGCAATTAAAATAGATTTAGACAGACTATTTTATGAATTAAATAGTAGCAGAGGAGTTCGCGGTGCGAATGCTGGTGTCTATAGTAAGAATAGACTTTAGTCTCAACGAAAACACAATACGACTTTCCTACTTTTCAGATTGGAACGCCCTAATATATTGCTATAGAGATGGGTTCGTTCCATCAGTACAATTACAGGTAGAAATATTTTGGGAAGCAGAAGGTAATTGAGGAGATTACAATGGTGCGGAAAGTAATGGCAGTAGCTGGATGTGGCTGATTTATATGCCATATCCTTTGATGTATAACTGTGAAGGTCGACGTCGCTCTAAACACGGCATTACGGATCCTCCCGATCCTTTGTAGTGCTTTTAGGTACCACAAGCACCGGTCACCGTCCTCATCGAACCCATCACTTGCGACGAAGGGCTCGACGAGTGATTAACCCATACACACAGCCCACTGAGTTTCTCGCCGGATCTTTTCAGTGTGTCGCGTTTCCGATACGGTGGTAGATTCTGCGAAGCACTGCCCTTGCCAGGAACAGTGCTAGCAAAACTCCCGGTTTGAGCCCCGCGAGCTCACCTACACGTCAAGGAGAAGCTGAAATAGCCTTTCAAGGCGATCAGCATAGGTTAAAAAAAAAGTGAAGGTTCATTTGACCTGAACTAAGAGCAGCAAGAAGTATTTACAGTTGCTACTAGTATTAGTAGCTAGAGGAGGTCCGGCACTTTAGAAGATGACGTAGCTCATTATAAGTCTTAATTAAAATTTGACTGTGGCGAAATAGGCGAACCAGCTTGTCCTGAATAAATAACTTCTCATTATTATGTAAATTACTTCCTTCAATTAGAGGAAACAAAAACAAAGCCCTACTCATTACCACTCGGGAATCCATTTAAGTTTATGTATGTAATCAACTTTAATAGTTTCATAGAATAAAATCGACACCATGGGGAGTCTGCTTTGTTTATCCCTTATATAAATCATAAAAATGATTGAATGAATGATTCTACGGTTTTAAATTTTTTTACAACTACGTGATTCTTATTTAAGTTTTATCTACGTTAGTCACTTAAATAAAAAGGATCTTATCTATCTGCGTATCTAAAGATACGACCAAAATCCTTTGGGTACCATTACTTCCCCATGATTTTTCTTTCTCTCTTTCAAGTGGCATATTCATTAACGTTTTTTTTTTCAACCAAACACTTTCTTTTGTTTTTGCTTTGAGTAGAGCTAGCAAGGCGGCTTAGTGTTATCATTTTGAATGACTGCCAAAAAACGATCACACGTTACAGTTTAAAAGGTGGGCTAGTCACTCGGAGGTGAGGGGAGACAGTAAAACAAAACTGAGACGTTCTTCACCATTCATACGTTTTTAAAGCAAAACGAATAAAAGGGATTGTGCCTTAACAAACAACATCTCCCTCTAAATGACTTTAAATGACAACGAAATGTAGAACTTCTGAAGCCAGTGGCAGAGTTCGGAATGGCTGAGCAACCACGTGAACTCAAAACGCAAATCAATATTGAAATTACAAAAAGTGCGCTCGTTGCTATAGCCGAGATCCACGCCCGGTCTAGTCTAGCCCGGGCAGGCTGTATCGACCGGCCTCACACCACCCCTACTACAGGCTCCGAACTCTTCACAAAGTCGAATCGAGATCGCGTCTATACAACTGTAGATGTAAATAATAAAAATATGTTTTTATGAATTTGTAATGAAAAATGTAATACCTACAAAATTAAAAGTAGATAATGACAAGCTCTTCAATCGATTACAAATCGGTCTATAGTCAAAAATCTCATAACTGTTTCGGACTCGGCCATAAAAATAATTCATAAAACCTAATATTGTACGTTCGACCTTCGTCGTAACGAATACGGCTGGTTTTGCTTATGTAAATATATTTGAAATTGACGGGAAGAGCAGACATTGTTATGGGCTTTTTTAAAAAAAAACCGTTTGATAGCAGAACCCTTAAGCTGTACGAAAAGCGATTTTTTTTTTAATGTGAAATCTGTTATTATCTATGTTAGAATTATCTATCAAGAGACGTTCCGTCATAGATATGGCAATTGATTTTTATACACATACATACTTACCTATAACAATATGCGATTTTCACTGACACATATTATATTATTATATAACTCGAATTAACGTTATTACAATTGTCGGTCAAACTTTAATTAAAGCCCAGCCAAAGAGTACTGTAGTATATTTTCATAATAAAAAAAAACGTTAAGAGGCATCTTCGCATGATGAATACTAGTAATGAAACAAAGTAAATTTGCCGCCCCAAACCGTTTTTTAATTAATCGTTTTATTCAATATTAATGTATGCTCGTATTACAACATCATTAATAAGCACGGGATGCTCAGAAAAGCGTAAGGTGTTAATATAAGGTGTTAATATAGCTTTTAAAAAATAAAACCAAGATACAACAAACTAACTACCAATAATAAAAAAATATCCTAGTTCAATTTGAAAGATTGCGACAAAGAGTGCGACAATAAAAAAAGATAGGGCCTTAGCACAGGATACATCCTTTTTGTACAAGCCTATTATTAACACATAATGCCTCAAATACGTTTTGGA